CCTCGTGCGTTGTGGTAGGTGTAGTGCGGAATAGCTGCAGAATAACAGGGGGAAAGAATAAACAGAGAGACAGACACACAGACCAAGAGCTGCAATCATCGCTGCGCATGCACACAGAGGGTTAATTACCATGCAGATTATGTGTGTCTCATGCTCTAATACTCCTGACCCAAATTTTGTCCTATGGTCATCATTGGCATGCTGCCAATTAGATTTGGTGGCTAGGCAATAGCACCGAGGATTAAATATTACCTTGTGCAAAACAGTGGGCTGGAATTAGTAGAAGCAACACCAGAATTTCACCTCCACCTGTATTAAATTGCAAGTGAACCCAACCATATCTGATATAGTGTGATCTTGAACCACTACGTGAGTGACAGTACAACCAGATGAATAGACAAGAAATGCCCCCCCAACAATGCATAACACATGAATACAGGACAACTCTGATGAGCTAGCACAAGAAATAAAAATACATAAGAGTATGATTACATTTACACATGAAAAACATGTGACAAGGGGAAGGGGGTGGGGCTCAGGATTACATAAAATTAGTTAAGTAAACCTCGCTTGTTTTGGCAAGCTAAGTGAGTCGTTTCTTCTATTTGAAGTGTGAGAATTAATTAGTGGTACATACCAGAGAGACAAACATACACACATGCACACAAAATCAAGTACTGTAACGCTCACTGTTATTTCAAGCTGAAGGTTAACTTACTTGGAGCCATGACTTGATCATCCACTGCAATCACTGGCTCTTGAGGCTGTAGAGGATTGTTAAACAAACCTGTGGTAATTATGCAGTCTCTAGTACCCAGACCTTGATGTTAAAAGGAGAGGTCTGGGTACCAGGCTGAGGTGGTAATACCTCTGTACGCCCTGAATTCTGTTGGCAATTATGACGATAATTATAGTTGCCTTCTGTGTGATGAGTACACACAAGTGTAGATGAACAACATGCTTGTCACAATGCTACTAATGTGTAAGTAACAATGTACAGCAGCTTCTAGACTTGTTGAGTATAATATCATGTTGGGAGTATATAGAAGTTGACAGAAAATGAGAACAAATCAGTGGTGCACTGTGCACTGTATAGTCTTGTTCCCAGATCCCACTCCTGAAAGGGTCCTCTAACGTCATATCTCTTAGTTGTGCTGAATTACCACCATTTCTTTGCTCTAGAGTTTGTCCGCATACACCATCACGTGTGCCAGAGAGATTGCCTAATAATCTTATAATTATGCCAACTCAAGAAAGATACCAGGTCCTCATTTGCATGGAAGCGCATAAGTTTGTGGTGTCATCCCCTAACTGCTGGGAACAAGCACTCTACTATGCCCACACTAGCATAGCTACATTTTGAGTGAGGGTACGGCAATGAATACCAGGTTCTCTCCCAATGAGCCTGGCTTTCATGAGACTATCTAGAGACTCTGAAAGAATCTGCAGTCTACATTCAAGACATTTGAGAAATGAATACAATGTAACGCATTGTTTGGAGAGCGAACGCAAATTTTCGGGCATGGTTTTGCACGTATTTAGTATCACGTAAACATTACGGTATGTTGGTCCGTTCACCGTTACACATATACATTGTTCTTAACCTAGGCGTCTGAATGTGGAATTTTTCCATATAAGAATATAAACAAAACAGAGATGCAGGCCATATTGAGTCGAACGTCACTTGTGTGGCATGTACTACATGGAGGGTCTGCTTGGCCAATGGATGTGGCTAGCTACACAGCAGCACCTAAAGCAGCAATGGGAGATGTGCAGCTGTGGCAATACCACAGGTAAAGTATATACTAATAACGACATCCACCAGTTCACTCATGACCCCTGACCACTAACGACCATGTCTGTGACCCGATTCAGCCTTTCAGCAAGCTGCCATTCATCACACCAGTCCGTCACACTCCTCAGTCCTTGTTATGTGTAACTTCTCTTCATCACAGCTGGCCGGGGAGAGCGAGCAACAGTATTTCTTCATTGTGAGAGGGGCTAGTATATATGTAGGTTAGACGATGGGTCCGAGGTGAATACATAAAATCAGAAACCCGAGGCTGGATGTAGCTAGCTATATACCCGAGCGCAGCGTGCTACACGGGCCCGAGGGTTTCTGTATCTATGGTAACCGCGTCCTTTCGAATCCGGCGCCTTGGCAGCGCATCTTTCGAACGGACGCCCGTGTTCTTGACGGTGCGGGCGTCTCTCTGGCCATCGATTTCTTACTCGGTTGGAGACGTAGCGGTTATGCCATGCATGCAGTATTCAGCGAGCTGCCTGATTGACTTGCCGTCGACCACATCCCCGTTTCACGCTACGCGCGCTCTGCGCGTTTTCTGTGCACTTAGCACAACTATCGCCTGGCTTCCATAGCTAGCTAATCCCATAATTCTTTGTTCTAGCTCTTTCCATTAGCTAAAAGAAAGCAGGAAAAAAACGAGGTGTATAAACAACTATTTGTACCATGATTTTAGCTTGTACATTGGCTTGTTTTCATGTAATTTCTGTAAAATTTGAGGTGTACTTATACGGGAAATCAGAAACTTTTTGGGCCAAAAAACTGAGACTAGCCAGGAAAAAAACGGGATGTGTCAGCGCCGCATTTGATTTTTATCCGTGCCGTAGATACCCTCAGTGGAATACAATTATGAAAACTATTACAACCTGGCTGGGTGAACAACTCTCTGTACAACTCTCTGTACAACTCTCTGTAACGTTTTCTTCAACACTGTCAGTAGAAGACGATAACACGGACGTCCTATTATACGTACCTATTACGTAACCGTTGCACGTGACGTCACAACCATTTACGTAACTTCCTGTCGCTCTCTGGCCGGGAGGACACATGCGAGTTTGTGGAAGCGTATGGCGTGTAATCAGTGTACGCGGTGGCATAACAAAAATCGTCCAAACTGCAGAGCGTTCTACAGACACTCTAGAGCGTGCCATAAGTACATCTTACATCGGCCAAACTCTAGAGCGTCCTACAACAGCCAACCCCTAGAGCGTCCTAGCGCATACGCAAACTACGCCATACTAGAGCGTCCAACCCCGCCACCCGCCACCCCCACCCCCCAGAGTGAAACTCCAGAGCATACGCATGCGCCGTAGTATTGTTCTTGCCCTTTGACCCTTGGTTATTTTGTGTATGTGCAGTGAGTGAAAAATTAAATAGGGACCAGCCCCATTGTCCATGGAATTCACCATCGCTGGCACCTGGATTTTCGTTTTTCGGAGGTCACGTTCTCCCCACCGTCGGATTGACGCTCTAGAGTGTCTGTAGAACGCTCTACAGTAAGGCCGATGTTTTTTTTACGTTTGGACGGGCCCCCCCCACGAGTCGTAGTCTCGCGGGGCCGGCCAGACCTGGCCCCGCGAGACTATATAGCCTTTAGAATTTCGTCAGCTACCGTCGACGAACGTCTGTAACGTAACGAAAAGGGATCAAGTGTAGAGAACTAACGGCCGAGCGCGTTACGACTTCCGGAAGCCGCACAAGTGACTGCGCTCCCATGCCACAAGTCACGCGCCATAGACCACGCCCCCTAAAACATTGCTCACGCACTAAATAACGGGAGGGGCTGCTAACTGCAAATCCAAAGGCCATTTTTGGGGTAAAACGTCCAATGGTAAGCGCGGCACCAGAAGAGACACTTTACGGCGGGTTGGCAGCATCCTCTCCCTTTCACGCGCTCTAGAAGCTGACGCTGATCAGCAGATCGCTTGGTTCCAGACCAAGGGCCTGATTGAACTGGCCATCTTGCTACCACGTGTTCATGGCCTGTTGTTTCGAGAAATGAAGCCATTCTAAGGGCCTTGGTCTGGAACCAAGCGATCTGCTGATCAGCGTCAGCTCCCAGAGCGCGTGAAAGGGAGAGGATGCTGCCAACCCGCCGTAAAGTGTCTATTCTGGTGCCGCTCCGCTTACCATTGGACGTGTATGTAGCCTGTGGATTTGCAGTCAGCAGCCCCTCCCGTTATTTCGTGAGCAATGTTTTAGTGACTTGTGCTTGGGGGCGCGGTCACTTGTGCGGCTTCCTGAAGTCGTTGCGCGCTGGGTTCGTTCTCTACAGCGACCGATTTCGAAATTTCAAAGCGCAGCGTGGTAGTTGAGCGTAGGTCTGCTTTGCGAGCGCGTCCATGTCCAACGCCCACTTACGTACTTAGCTGTATGTCACATAAGCAAAGTACGCGACGTTCCTTCGACCACCACTATAACGTCACACGACGTTTATATTATATACAGTATGAATGCAGGTATAAATAAGAAGATAGAGAGCAATTTAGAGTGATACAAGGTGTGTTTCCGAGATGATCAAATCGACCGCCATGGGCATTCTGATGGCATGTCCGCATGATGATCTTGCACCCCTGATGGCCTGGATGGAGGAGCGTAAAAGGGAGAAGGCTAGACGACAACGTAGCCAGCGGAGAGTGTGGCTGTAGGTGTGGTCCCACTTGGAGGCGAGCATGGAGGCGAGTCTTTGTAGAAAGTGTTGGCCTCCCTGGCCAAGCCACCGGTAGCAGAGAGCACCAGAGGCGTGAAGGTAGCGTGTTCAACTTCTCTTATCCGCTGTTCATATGCACGCTTCTGATTTGTTCGTGCTTTCTGTAGACTGACTGCAGGTTGGTGTGTCTGTTTGACGGGGCATGGGGATTAAATACCCTAACGTCGAAGTAGGTTCTCTCGAAGGTACCACCCCAGACACCATTTGCAGCGATATCAAGGCGGGCACCTTCCTGGGAGTTGGCAGTTGACCCCGTCAATTCTTCACTGTTCACAGGCTGAAGCTCTGGCTCAATGCACACGTCCTTGCACACTTCTGTGAGGAGGGTAGCTGTCAGGTCCCGTATCTCATTGTGCCTGATCGATGGAAAGCCGCCCTTGGCACAGGACAGAGCATGCTCAACTGAAAAGAGGCACCACAGATACATTTCGAAGGAAGTCTCTCTGGTGTCCCAGCCGTACCGTAATGCCAGGGCATCGTGGAAAGCTCCTTTGTGCAGGGCAAGCCATGCTCTGAAAGTGGCAGGACAGTGAGCCAAGTGGAGGATCCTTTCTCGCTTGCTAGTTTCATCACCGACCTCTGCAGGTTGTCTGGTAAAAGTTCTAGCACATCGCCGGCGGCTTTTGAACGATTTTCCTTGTTTCTATTTCTAACAATGGCCTTGGATTCCAATTGCTGGGTAATGACTTCATACCCGTAGGCCTCATCTTGTAGTGTGATGTGGTCTTGGAGGGCAGAGGTAACCAGTAAGGATGACTGATGTTCCTGGTCGGCTTGAGTGGAAGGGATTGTTATTCCCAGTCCACCCATTCTTGCTGGCAGGGCAAACATGGCACACTCCAGGTCACTAGGTGGGGGCCTTCCTGTAAGTGTTGGGATGAGTTCGGTACGCAAGATGTTATCGAGCGGCTTTAGTAGGTTGCTGATATTGGGAACTGTGCGACATAGGTAGGTCCACTTGCTTGAGAGACCATGTGTGAGAGCCGAGTAGGCTGCATGTGGTTGAGTCTTTGCTATTGTTGTTAGGTTGCGCACCATGGATAGCCAGGAGTCAACCCTCGACTTCACATAACTCTCCACGTACTCGGCTGAGCCAACTGCTGCACCTAGATATGGTCTGCCATCGGATGTAACATTCACCCCTGTGCCAGCAAAGGTAGAGAGCCCAGTAGTGTGACAGCCTTCCTTTGTTACTACCCACGTCTTGGATGGATTGGGAAAGTAGCCGAAGTCAGGTCCTTCTCTGGTCAAAAGGTCCCACCACACACGCAGGTCTGCTAGCTTTCCTACGGCGGCTACCATCGTCTGCATACCAGATCTGCTTGCAGTTGCCCTTCAGTTTTTTTGATAGAGGGATGTGGCGAGGGCATACATGGCATGGCTAGTGGGTCCCCTTGTGTCGTACCTTCTTGGGAAAGTAGAGTGTCGCCATCCACGAACAGTTCTGTTGATGCTCTGTATGTGTTGATGAGTATGGGTGCGAGTGGTGGACAGAGCCTTCTGATGTTATGAAGAGCAACCTGACGGTTCAAGGAATTGAATGCGTTGGTGGCGTCAACCAGGAGGACTGCTTCAGTGTCACTGGAGTCAAAGGCGGTTCTCACGGCATGCACTGCTGCTTCGATGCCAGAAATCTGTCCTCCACACATCTGGAGACACGAAAATGCAATCACGCGGGTCCAATGTGTACGCTTACGCGCGTAGAGTGTGCGCGCGTAGCGCAGCGCGAGCAAGAATCCTCTCTCCCCGCCGCTACTGCAGGAGCCAGAACAAGGAAAAGGCTTATAGAAAAACTCACGGAACCACACGTGGAACGTATTAAACGCATGCGCGAAATCGCGTATATCCACTGCCCACAAATATTCGCGATATTTCAATTATGACGCAACCTTGCGTAAACAGTTTTGACTAGTGCACTTCCGGCGGCAAGGTGAACGCGAACAGACTTTAGTAGAGTGAGAGGCTCATTCAATGGAAACCTCGTGTTTCTCTACAAGAGGTTTAGTTGGTGCTCTGTTGCTTGCATTATCTTCTGTGGCTCAAGGTTTATATTCTAATCATCTTATAAAGATTTCAGTATTGTCTATATTTTCCAGAGATTTCCCATTCTCCTGAGAGCACAACCATCTTTCTAAACCAATCAGCAGTTTTTACATGTATGACAAGAGGTGGTGTCACTCTGTGGAGAGTCAATGGAACACAGCGAGAGCTCCTTTTGCCTATACTTCGTGATCTGGTTGTCTCAGAGACTACGTCTGAAGGTGTTGTGATGCAGACTCTGACCATTCCAGCCAGAGCCCAGTACAATGGAACTAGAGTTCAGTGTGTCTCAGCTATAGTTGGTGTCTCCTTAGTGGAGAGTGACAACGTTACATTGACCATTCAAGGTATTAGTTATAAGTTTTATGAAATTACTTACCATGATATATATCCAGGTCAACTGTCCGCAGTAGCTGGTCTAAGTGCCGTCAGCAATGCCAACTCAGTGATCATCTCATGGAGTGCTCCATTCTCTCTGGATGTGACTGGGGTTGATCCTGATATCTGGTACTCTGTCCTCATCTACAATGTGACAGATGAGAACAACCCAACAGCCATCCTCTGTACTGACTGTATCAATATCACTGAGACACACTACACCTTCACTCCTGACTACCTCAGTCCTTGTCATGTGTACAACCTCTCTGTCATCCCCCTCAATGGAGCTGGCCAGGGAGAGAGCAGTCCCAGCATTACTATCACCATTGGTATGTCAATTTTAATCTGTGACCAGACCGGCCTGGTCCCTTGAGCCATAATATAATGTTCAGATATTTTCTCCGTTAGGAAAGCCTACTTTCATCAGAACGCACATCAAAGCTCTTTGTGATGATGATGTTGCAGTTACTTATGTAAGTGTTGACTCTGCAGATGGTCTTATTACAATTATATAGCATACCCACTGTCTACAGGAACACAGAGAGATGGTAGATGAATACATTCTTCATGGAGTGTCTGATATGGACCTACAAAATATCTCTTTGTCCTCCAACCATCGAGTTTCAACATACACACTCTCTGCAAACAAAAACTTTAACATATTCTTTGAAGTGTTCACAGCTGCTGGACCTGTGAATGTATCTCATGTTACCTTCAGTAAGACAACCAATGAGTGTGTCTATACTAGTTCTCATGAATATTGTATACAGCAACCTATGATGTCCAGAGTCTGTCAGTGGAAGAGGAAGAAGGAGGAGTGTTAGTGAGAGGGGAGTTCATGAGTGGGTCACGAGCTACAGGATGTCTGGTGGTCCTCCAGGGACCTCCCTCCTGTCCTGACATATTCAGAGCTCTCCCGAGGAGCCAGTCTCAGGACACTGTCTCCACCACTGTACCTGTCCCTCCCTCCACTTACACTGTGTATGGATATGACCTTGAGGAGAATGGACTGCCCAACACCATGCCTGCTATCCTTCTAGAGAACCAGATATTGATAAACTCAGGTCAGCCATTGCAATTTGTTATAATTATAGCAATGTTAACGGCTTTTTATTTACAGATGCTGACAAAGTTAAACCTTCCTTCTATTTGAAGAGTGCCAGCATATCCCAAAGAGGATCAACTGTAGTGATAGACTGTGAATTCTCAGAGGTCTATCCCGAGGCCTCATGTGTCCTGGTGTACAGAGAGTATGGCAGTCCTCTCCTGACAGTGGTGGACATCCCCCAACTCTTTGATTTCCCTGTCTCTATCACTGTGGACAGCCCTGAGAACTATACCGTTGCACTGTTTGGGAAGAATGGTGCAACTGGTTTGGATGAAGAGCCACTGGTGTATACTAAATTCAGTGGCTCAGGTAACAACCTCTTTGTGTATAAAGTATTTGGGAAACTTTCACAACAGTGAAAGTTATTTGATCTGTTTACATACCCAAAGACCAATTGTCTATAGTGTCACATTTCTTTCAGCTACAGATGAAACAGACAGAGGGAAAGAAGAAGGAAATCACAACTCACAAGGACCAGTTGTTGCCATATCCATTGGTGGGTGTTTACAGTATCAAAGCTAAACCTACCATAGTTTATCCTCCTCCAGGCACAGTATTGGTGTGTGTTCTAGTATGTGGCTCAGCAGTGGTAGTCCTGGTGATGGTCAGACGGTATCATAACCACAGCAAGTCCACACATGCGCTTGATGCAGGTAAATGATGTTTGTGTTGTGAATGCATCAACCAAGAAAATCTACATGCCAAACCTACTTCAGTGCTTTTCATTGGTAAAGGTTCTTACTTCCTAGTTGTGTGTGTGTCTCTTGCAGCAGGTCTCCAGACCAGAAATGTGGTGTATGATGAAGTAGCTCTCTCCCCAACCACCACCCCATCCTCTGTCATTCCAACTGAACCCAACACAGCCTATGTCACCACCACAATACCAACTGACCAGAATGTGGCTTATGCTGTGCATTCATTGTCATAATGTGTGTTATTTCCATGTGTGTTTTGGTATCCCTAACATCATTAGATTTATACATGTATTGAGAAGGGAATTTATAGCCCTGAGTAAGCAGTTTATAATGAACCGTGTCATGTAGTATGTATTCATTGCATTGTTGCTGACACTGTGCACATAGCTACTACACTGGGTTATAATTTTTATATAATATAGATGGCCCACAGTTTTCACACACTGTAGTGCGATAATATAGTTAAAATGCGCATGCTGCAATCAAGTATAACACTTCCACACAGGTATTCGTATGTTGAGGTCTGCATTTGCAGACATCAACAATACATATTATTGTATGCTGTACTGTTTCTATAGTCTATGTCAGCTTTACTACAATACCACCCCCTCCACTGCTGGCAATGTGGCTTGCCATTCCTCTAATGACACTACTAGTATCCAGGAACAACTTTCTAGCCTCCCCCAAAGGAGCACTTACTAGTAAAGATGCGCCAAAATTGCGTAGGCGTCGATATTTTAGTTATTTTATTCAATAGCATGGCTAAAACGCTCGTGAATTATAGTGAATTTTGGTATATACCTGTCTCGGATTTTTCACTCCTTGTTTTACAAGTTCATTAGCATTTTCATATTCCTCCTCCATACATTCTCTATGGGAGAAAACCAGTGCGCGACCTCACCGGGAGCGAACGGTTCCTCGCCAACGGTTCCTCGCCATTATGCGCAGTAGTTCCTGCCAAGTTTTGACATTTCCAGCTTCGTCAAAGTTTGACAATGCGACGATTACGTTCATATTAACTGACAGGACTGAGATAAACTTCTTACTGCATGTTCAAGGTCTGGCCCCCTAGCCAACAATTTGTAATGTGTCATGTGACTTTTATATATTGTGTATACAGGGATATTGAGCAGTCCAGACTTGACCTACAAAGATGTGAACTCCACCCATATCATCCTCAAGTGGGGATGAACCATTTTCATGGGTGCAGCCTGGAAACATTTCCTACGTCCTTACTCTGATAGGGACTGATACAAGGATGATTCGCCTTAGTGCTACAAGTTTCACAACCTCAAGACCCCATGATGTGCTGAAGGCAGTCCTGACTGCCGGGAACACCGTGGGAGAGGGAGAAAATTCTATTCTCAACATTTCATTTGATGGGTGTGAACCACAAGGTAAATACTATTGCGCAACGCTGTGTGGCCGACTATAGCACAATGTGTTTTGTATATAGCACTCAGCAATACATTGTCATGTGAATTGTTACATCATAGAGTCATGTGAGTCAACCTCCATCTCTAACAGGTGAATCAAGCCAAGAGCACTTCCATATCAGGAACTGGGAAGGGTTTCGTGTGTATGTGGAGTTATTTACTCTCCTGGTAAGCTGTAGGGGATTCCCCAGGGACTTATGATCATGAATATAATTAACCTGCAGGAGAATATAGAGTACTGTCTTCCAGACAATATTACTGTTGTCCATGACAACGTCAAAAAAACAGTCAAGATAATGTACAATAACAATAAAGTATATATTTTACTACCCAACGTGACTGAGGTACGGCATGTGACCGACTTTCTCATCTGGTACCTGTCACAGTTGCACCTACACTACTGTAAGTTCAGAGCAAGTCTTGACTAACAACCTTGGGACAAAGCGCTCTATTTACAGCCACCTACAAGGTGCAGGATGTGAGTGTGACTGGAGATAGCTACAAGAAGACTCTCCAGTGCCACTTTCTCGATGGAACGGAGCACGACACCTGTTTCATTGAGGTTGAGGGAGATGATCGGCCTCTCTCTGGTTCAGATGTCTACCACTTCAGCAAGCCAGGGAACCACACTTTGAGGGTCTATGATAATAGGGCACAGAGAGATGCGGGAGCTGAGCCAGCTAAAGTTCTCAATATCACCATCGGTAAGTGTTGTATAAGCTGGATGACAACAAACCTAAATACAACTTTCAGATAAAATTTAAAACCTGCTATTTTGATGAGGGATTGTCATCAAAGGCATTCCATTCCCAAATATAGTAATAAACCCCTAGCCCTTGCCCTATACTGTGTACTGAAAAACAGTGGTGTAAAAGTGATGTAATGCCTCGTATTTCTTGTTTTTGATGGCAATCAGGTGATGTACAAACAGAGGAAAATGGAGAAGGTAATGGAGAATATTATTTCAAACTCTACAAAATTTAAAAAAATTATCTTCCAGGTTTCACTTGGGTCATTATAGTAGGAGTTGTGCTACTGCCGGTGTTTTTACTGGCGGTAATTGGCCTTTTGCTATACTGCACACTACGCAAACACGCTTGCAATGAAGTACCTACCCGCAATGAAGATGAAGCTGAACACGGAAGTGGATCGAACGATTCTCAGCAACATGGGTCTGCTGTTGATGACATTGCTAATGTGGTTCACCAGGCAACTGGTTAGACAACAAACTGTTATACAAAGGGCGGGCACATAAATGTCATGCTTCATTCACCCCCACAGCTCCAGAGGAGGGCAAGGACGACCTCGAAATTGGCATTGGAGAGATTGTAATTACAGCTGTAGGTATACGTAATCGTCAAAGGGTCCCTGCACATCACCGAAGCAATGAAAACCATGGTGAGTCTTAGGGTATTTCCCATGAGGCATTGACATTATGCTGTTTCTATAGTGGCTATCAGGATAGAAGAGGAATGCAACAATAAGTCCATCAAGGATCTTCCCACTACTGAGGGCCAGCAAGTATCCAGTGATGCGGAAAAGGAAGTGGAGGTGACAGTGGAAGGTTTGGAGATTCCAGAACTACACCAAGGCCCAGTGGAGGAAAACATTAATTGAACAGTAACATTTAGAGCCGTGCATAATAATATTACAACATGTAGAATGTTTTTTAGCTACAATACCATTACATACAGTAGATCACATGAGTAAAGCGTACACATTATTATTGTATATTGAACATCATGTGTGAATTACATATTCATGAGGTGTGCATCCCTGAGCTACACTGTGAATACCTATGTTTGCTGAGTCATTCTATCATTTGTGTGCCGCTTAATTAGGAGAACACGTATGGCGAGGCACATGTAGGCAACTTTGCATACTTGTCAGAGGTTTACTGTTGAGTCATGTGATGTCAACATAGGTATACATGCAACCGTAATGGATGCCACATGCACATATATATGCATTAACAAAGAGTAGATACTAAAATATATTTTTGTAGCACTTCTATCAAAGCAATACAATAATATCCACATTTAAAAAAGTTGAGGAAAACATCTACGTAGCTATAAAAAGTCACACAGTTTATCTACTGGTACAACGGACAAAGGTTCGGACTAAGTTCCGGTAGACTACAGTACACAAGTATTCGTCAGTCTTGTGGCAAGTTACCACATGACTTCCTAGTCTTGGTCCTCGGGTGAGAGTGGTCGTGTGCTTCACATTCTGAGAGACACACACAACAGTGTAACAACCCCTGCTGGCCGAATGAACTAGTCTATTACAACACACCATGTCCGGGACCATGTTCGTTAGTGGGGGGCGACGGAGAGCCTCGCTTCTTCTTCTTCTTTCGATGGGATTTCCGTGAGGTGGAAGACCCTCGTGTCTTTTGCCCCACCTTCAGAACCTTTCTTTCACCTACAGAGTTCAGTCTGAAACACTATATACACCACTCTGGAACACATATACCTTCAGTTACTTGGGTTCCATCAGTGAGGGTTGGTGCGGATAACTCCAGTGCCTGCATTTACCAGTTGTATGAGCAGGGAAGGGCAATGTCCATGAACAAGTGTGGCAAGACTAGGTTACTGCTATACATGTACAGTATATGCATGTCATGTGTTCATGGCATTCCCAAACACTCAGTCTGGAACACTCAAAGCATACAGCAAGGGAAGTTGTGCTTCTTTTACAACCCACCTTCCCATCTCCTCCAGTGAGAATGGCAGGGTCAGTAAGGCCTGTATAAATTGCACACACCACAAAGACTCGGCATAAATACACACACATGTGCACATGCATGGACACACAAGATGTACATGGCCTTACAGGCAAGAGGAGGAAAAGTGGGACTACGCTCAGCTCCACTGAGTGCAGACAAATCACAATCCTTTTCTCCCAGTGCAACCTTGGCACTCTCTATATTATCAATTCAAACATGTGAACAAGTGACAGATTTTGCAGAAAAAGTGCCTTACTGCTCTGCTTGTCTGTGCACTCTACAGAGGAAAACAACCCATGGTTTTTAGCCTCCTCCTCAATCTCGGTATTGTCTTCATAGACTTTGCTACTGCCGTCTTCGCTATTAAGGCATTCACTGGGAAAATCTTTCACCAATGGTGGAGCATCACTCTCAATACTCTCTCTATGCTCATTGGAGATAGTAACCTGCGGGAACACTGTATTAGGATAGCTTCATTAGTCTATAATACACACACCTTTGACCCTCTAGTTGAGTTGTCTTGACTATCAGTCTTCTGGGAAGGAGTGAAGCTTACGACAACAATGGAAACATTGTCTTGTGAGTGAGTCGATTCTTCTGGTGTCTGCTCAAACACTCCTATATTAGGCATACCACCATGTATGTAAATTCCTAAGCCTAGTCCACACATTACCTTTATTTGATGCACCCTGGTCAACATCTGGATCTTGACCTACAGGATGTGATTATCATACCATTTTGCAAATGACTAGACAGTGTTCTTGTGGGCAGAATACCTCCAGGTTTAATGGTAGCATCCTTAGCGCCACTGTCTTTTCCGGAGGGAGTAGGTCTCAACATTTTCTGAGGAGAGAGAGGATCATAACATGAGTCATGTGACTATCATGTGTTCATCAGCTGACCTGAGTAGCTCTGATGTCAATCTCCTGGTACTGGACTCTGGAGTCCTCTGGCATAGAGGGTGGCACCCCTGATGATGTGACCACCACACGAGTGGCTTCTGTAGGTATTTCAAATAGCACAAAACCGTTACACACACACATTTAATTGACAGGTATGTAATTAATACTGACCTTCTCCCTGTTCTTTACTCTCCGGCACACCTGGGGAAAGAGGAAGTACATAACTAAGCATCCTTTAGTATTCCCGTATTCACCTTTGTCAGGTGTTACAGCTGGAATGTCAGAGTTTGGAGCATTTCCCCGGCCCTGTAGCTACAAAAACAGCATGGGTTAGTCATAATGGAACTATAAACCAATGGCTGTGCACTAAAACCTGGTAACGAGTAGTGATTTTTGCAGTAGAGGTCAATGCTAAACTGCCTCCTGCATCGTTTTCTGGTCCATTTTCCCATCTTGTATCACAGGCAGTGCTTGTATCAGCAGAGGCAGAAACACTGTTGCTTAATAGATGCCTTTTCTCATCATCAACTTTTTCTTTCTTATGTTTTGGCTGAGAAGATTGAGTGGATGCAGTATGTTTCGGTGTGGTCTGTGGGACAACAGCAGCATCCTCTTCCATCCTAGCCTCCGACTCCTCTTCTTCATGTTGCTTAGCTTCCAACTCACTCAAACGCATAGGCTCCTAAACAAGTAGAGTATATAAAAACAAATTCACAATTAAAAAGTGGGGCTTACAACATCAAACACCGGGTGTTTTCGCCTTCTTCTCAGGATAAGGATGATGATGAATACCATAACCGTGAAACCTACAACTGCAACAACTGCTCCTACTACCGCTAGTCCAATAGCAAGTCCTGCTAGTGATTTTGAATCCTTTGGACTCAAACCTGAATGAGAAATGGACTGAAACAAGATGAACAGTTAAACTAAGGATTTACCTTCACCTCCTGTCGGTACAGTGGTTTCAGGGTGTTTTACAGTAGAGCTCGGGTTGATTACTGTGGATAAATCACAGTGTTGTGTGCCAGTGGTAATGTTGGGACAGCTCTCTCCTCTCCCAGCTCCATTCAGTGCGATGACAGAGAAGAGATACTTGTGGCATGGACTAAAACCAGCAGGAGCGAAGGTATAACTTGTGGTAATAGTATGTTTTTCAAAGAGTTTTGGGTTGTTCTCATCTGTCACATTGTAGATGAGGACAGAGTACCAGATATCAGGATCAACACCAGTCACATCCAGAGAGAATGGAGCACTCCACGAGATGGTCACTGAACTGGCATTGCTGACGGCACTCAAACCACCTACTGCTGAGGGTGGACCTGGATGCAATTTATATGCATTTTCAATTGAGACAGTAGATTACAATCATATTTAGAGAACAAATATTTTACTAGTACACCCAGTTGCAGGTGCGTGCAAGAACAAATATTACATTTAAAAATACACAACAGTGATTCAAGGTCATATATAACATCCACCTATAGAATTGATATTTGCCTAACTATCTGCCCACTAGGTTGTAGAACTGAATACATGTTACTTGGAGTCCTTTTACATTACTATCCACCACGTGAGGCCATTAATGCCACATTACATGCACATTTCCATGTGCATGTGTGTGCACAACTGATGAGGTGCCCCCTGCAATTCCTGGTTGTATCTTTGTACATGTCACATTGAGGACAGGCTAATGTAGTAGTCTGAATGGCACAAATGGTGTAATGTGAAGCAAAAGGTGCTGTGTAAAACAGACTACATGTAGAAATGTATGTCATAAGTGAAGTACAGGAACCTGTATAAACAGTTTATACAAACATTTCCAGGGGAATGTTTTTCAGACCAACAACTCAAGTATATACTGTAACATACTGTACACTATGTATACACAATCTGAGTGAGGGCTACTCCACATGAGTCACGGTGCAAAGAGCTGACTTCTACACCTACACTGTTGCTACAAAACACAATATTTCTGACTGTGCCTACAGCTTGCTGTGCCATGTTTACAGTGTACCTATGAGTGACAATGTGAGAATATGCAAACATGTTTCTTGCTCTACGTAAAGCTAGCAAAATTGACATACCAATAGTAATAGTAATGCTGGGACTGCTCTCTCCCTGGCCAGCTCCATTCAGAGGGATGACAGAGAAGTTGTACACATGACGAGGACTGAGGTAGTCAGGAGAGAAGGTGTAGTGTGTCTCAGTGATATTGATACAGTCAGTACAGAGGATGGCTGTTGGGTTGTTCTCATCTGTCACATTGTAGATGAGGACAGAGTACCAGATATCAGAATCAACACCAGTCACATCAAGAGAGAATGGAGCACTCCATGAGATGGTCACTGAGCTGGCATTGCTAGTTTCTCTCAAATTCAATGGGGCTGACAACAGACCTGTTAATAATGTAGTATCACTACATCACTCGATAATCTTGAAAGTGAACAGTACCTTGGATCTTCAAAAAGGCACTCTCGCTCAGCGCTGGAGGGTTAGGAGGATTTACAACTCGGCACTGGAATCTAGTGCCACTGTACCCATCCTTGGCTCGAATAGTTAGATTATTGATTCTACTACCACTGTTAGTGATGGTGTAATTGTCTGACAGTACCATGTCACTGAGTATATCAAATGGAATATTCGATGGCAATGTTCCATTGATAACCCAAGTATAGGTACCACCCTTCGTCTCACATAACAAGGAGCCTGCCAGGTCAAGGAAGACAGTTATGTTCTGAGGACCATGGACTATCTCTGAAGGGAGGGAGGAACAATGTTAGGGAAAACCCCCTCAAGTAAAATTCTCCCTTACATAATTATTCGAAATGTTTGGACCACCATACTTCATACTAGTCAAAATTACATGTGTGAAAGAGAAGCTAAAATGCCCCCAAGTACAGGTCTAGAACACTCTGTCTCAGGTTCAATCTATTTGTAGACGGAGAGTGTCTATCTAGTCTCATGGGGTTCTGGTAACTACATACAAGTCAATATCGTGGTTGTGCTGAGTCAGCATGTTCTGAAAACAGGTAAGCCAACCAGATTGCTATTATCATGGCAGTGGTTCATTTGTGTGCCTCTAAAGTAAACGCACAGTGTGGAGATTCAAATTATAGCTGGTATATACCACATGACCATTACACGTGAATTTCATAACTGTTCACATAAACAAGGTTTGGGTCAATTGTTCACCCCTCTGCCTAAAGGACAAGTAGACACGAACACACAAACAGTGTTGGCTTATCAGATGAAAAGAACAGCCAAACGACAACAATTATGCACATTAAAACTGCATGGCTACACCCACTTTTGTGTGACCCACAGGGTTTCTGGGCATCATAGGAGATCACTGCTAAACCACCATAACAAAGGATAAACAACCTTAACATTTTCAGCTCAGGTAACACACCTTGCGCAGAGCAAAGGGCTCCAAACAGAAGAAAGAAAAGTCCACTTCTACCTATAGAATGAAAAGCACTAAAGTGCACACCCTCGGCGAACTGCGCACGTGCGGTACCACTAATTGATGGGCTGGGCTTTTAGTATGTGTTTACTTGTGGTCTCCCGCTAGTAGCTCGCGGAGAGTCTGACACGGACTAGCTACAGTAGTAGATAGCATGCGGGAGTCGATACACGCCCTTCGTTGTGACTTCTTGTGCCTTCAAGATACACAGAGCGAGCGGACCCGGTCGAGGTAAGCCTGTGCTGCATATTGGCTTGTTCACTTGCCTTTCACGCCATAACTTTTGAATGCAGAAGTTATATCAAAATCACCTTTTTGTAAAATGAGGCCAGTGTAGCAATGAACCTGTTGGTGTCGCTATATCGTTGTATCGTTGCGTGTAGTCGCAGAAAACGTGGTAACAGATGAACCGACAGACAGACAAACACATACACACTCACAAACACACTCATGAACCAAGTACTGTAACCCTCGCTGCGCATGCACACCGAGGGTTAATGAAAAGGCACTAAAGTGCAAACCCTCGGTGCACTTGACGCACGCGGATGTCCGTATCCCATGCATACGTATGCACGGGTCGGTAGCGCTAACTGATGTGCTGCACGCCGAGGGTTAATAAAGGGTGGCACATAAACATCTAGAATAGTGACAGGACATGTCCCTCGACAAGAGAATTGGTCTAGACATGTTATAGTTCTAGATGTTACTGCACCACAGCGCTTCAAAGTGTGCATGCAGATTTCTATGATAACAAGTTGGTCTTACAGTGTGTGATCATACAACTCCCGAAACACAGCTAATGACTTACTTAGAGCCATGGCAGCTCCACCGGTGCCAGTGATCAACTCCTATAGGGAAAACATAGATTGAAAAACGGGCAGTATCAGAGTATGTCGCAAAATACCCACCCTATTATAAAACCACATCTACACCGGCGGACAGGACAAGGTCAGTGAGGTTTGGGAAACTAGCGGAAAACCTACTGGCTAAGGTCCTTACCGCTGTTGTGGACCTTGTTCGCTCTTCTGAAGAACCGTGTCGCGTTATCGCCACGCCCAACCATTACGTCATATATTGAGCATGCGCAAATCTGGTTTAGTACATACATTTGCGAATTGCGCGTTAGCTCTCGTCCCTCATATAACATTAGGATGAATTCGCAAGCAAGTGAAGTAGGTGCAGTAGTTATCTCTCTTTGTTTGACTCTACGCTGTTTTGCTGTTGGTAAGTTGCAGTGCAGCATACTGCACCTAAGGTTTTTTATTCTCTGTTCTTCAGAGGTACTTTATGATCCAGAGGACACGACAGTCTTTCTGGACAGGTTTGGAGTGTTCAAATGTGAGACAAAAGATGGTATCACTAGTTGGTACATCAATGGAACACTACTAGAGCTCTTTCAACCGGTGATACAAAGGGATCTCCGAGACAGAGGGATCAACACCCCTAATGGTACTAGACTGGAGAATCTGACCATCCCAGCCAGAGCTGAGTACAATGGAACTTTAGTTCAGTGTGTGGTGATTACAGAAGATGGTTTGTCTTCAGTACTGAGTGAGAATGCTACATTCTATATTCAAGGTGTTATAGTATTATACTCTGCACTTGTATGATTAAATTGTTTCCACCAGGACTTGTATCAGCAGTGGATTATTTGAGAGCTAAAGGCAATGCTGGCTCAGTGACCATCTCATGGAGTGCTCCATTCTCTCTGGATGTGACTGGTGTTGATCCTGACATCTGGTACTCTGTCCTCATCTACAATGTGACAGATGAGAACAACCCAACAGCCATCCTCTGTACTGACTGTATCAATATCACTGAGACACACTACACCTTCACTCCTGACTACCTCAGTCCTTGTCACGTGTTCAACTTCTCTGTCATCCCATCCAATGGGGCTGGCCAGGGAGAGAGCAGTGATAATGTTACAGGCTACATATACAAAGGTAATGGATTTCCTTTAGGAAACTGTCAAAAAAGGATGTCTTCTCTTCAGCTCCACCAGATTTCATTGTTTTTGAAGCAAGCATAACAGTTAGTAGAAAGATTCCCAAGAACATGTTCCTTGTTGTGATTGATAGTGACTTCATAGGAAAAGGTTTGCAAACTACTGTTTTTACACATTGGTAGTTTTACTCTAGTTCCATTTTCAGTGTTTTGTCATGGAGAGTTGCCAGAAACATTTGTAGTACACTACAGTAGTACTCAGACACACTGTCCGCCAGTAGTATCAGTAGAGGCCTCAGAACTGACTCCAGACAAAGAGGCCTTGCTCATAAAGTCTGAGGTAGCTCTGGGGAGAGACTGTGACTACACTGTCCACCTCACCTCCCGTAATGGAGCTGGTGACACCAACTCCACTGGAACACTCTCTATCAGTTAGTCACTTGAACCTTTCCACTCCTCCTGTTAAATGGTATCCCCCAGGTACGAGGGTGTTGATAGTGGAAGTGGTGGAGTTGGAGGGAGAGGTAGTGGTGAGGTGTGTGTTCAGAGACACCCTCTCCCAGAGGTGCTATGTGCAGCTGGTGAGTAGTGAGGTGGAGGGAGGGTTCCAGGAGGGAGGGTGTGTGGAGGGGGCGGGAGAGGGTGTCCACAGGTTCCCTGGCCTCCTCCCTGCCACATACACTGTGTTGGTCTACGGTCTGGTGGCAGGGGGATTGGAGGACTCTTGTTCACCAGCTCCTGGAGATCCTGACTACATCACCGTGGCCACTGTCCATGATCCCCACCCATCCTCTGTCAACAATCAACCTTCTCCTACTAATAAGATGACAAGTACGTCCATCCTCAGTACAAAAATTATGTATGGTATATCAATTTGTGTGCATCTCAGGGCCACTTGTTATTCCAAATCCCTGGTGTGCTGAAGGTAAACAGCCATGCTCAATTCTAGTAGTGTTTATTCATCAATAAAAAATAGGAATTGGTGTTGGTGTATGTATGGGAGCTATTGCTACGTGCATTTTGTTTGTGATGGGGATCATTGTAGTAAAGGTGCTCAAGAAACACAGACAAAGAAGGAACGGTATATAACTTCTAAGTTTATTTTTCTTATTATACACATTGTTTTCTTTTTGGAACAGTGGCTAAGTCATCAGCAGCATCTTCCCAACATGTGGCAATGGAGAAGAACATGGCGTATGAATTACATAAACCACAGCATCGGAGAAAAGACCACACTGCACCTCAACAGGCACTGAATCCAATATACGAAGATTTGAAGTAATGTAATTATTTTATCATGGCATTTTACATATCAGTTAACTATATTTGATACTCTGTTTGTTAATACTCTTTTTTGTAACGTATTGCTGGGGGACGTGTGCACGCAAAACTGCACACCCCTTCGCAAATGCGCATGCGCAACTTGCTCGTTGCGCGTCTGGTGTTGCCGAAACTGAACTAGCAGGCATGAAGTTTGCACTACTCTTATGGGTCTTACTGTGCGGATTGGTCTCATCTTACAATGCAGGTGAGTCAGTATATATATTTGCTAGCCTCTGTTATTGGCACTATAGAGCATAAGTGCACGCGCATTATCATTCTCGCTATGATGGAACTTTAGCTATAAATGTAAATAATCAGTGTCTCTACTTATTAGATTCTTGTCTTTCTTTCCGCTTTATATCCACAGCCTCACTTACTGTCCTTCCCTCTGACGCCAGTGCTAGTGGAGATGAAGTGGATGGACCTAGTAACAAGGCCCCTATCACTGGACACTCGCTGAGAGTTGTTATTGGTAAAACTGGTGAGCATCTAAGTAAAGGCTCATTGTTAGAACTCTCTTTCAGGAGTGTCAGTGGGTTCTTTGATAAGTGTGCTGCTGTTGATATGTCTGGTGGTCGGTAAGAGGATAAGAGATAGATGTGACTCAGCCTCATACCCAGTCAAAGAACTGGAGAAACGCCAGAGAGAATGTGGGACTCCTAGGACAACCATCTTCATCAACCCAAGTCAGTTGGCTGTGAAAAGTGTTTGGAGCATGCATAAATTATTAGCACCACTATGTCTGTCAGTAACCACAGCTCCAGGTAGTGGCCTAGAGGACAGTTCCTTACCGAAGTATATATATAGATACATTTTTACTTCCTTTAGGTTTTGTAATGAGAGATGGAGCAGTTTGTAGTGCTTGCTTCCTACTGTACTATGTATCTTTGATGACAGTTACATATTCCATTCCTAAAGGTGTGGATGATAAAATGGAGAATGGACACACAGCCAATAGCTACTTAGAGAAATGATGAGGGCAACAAGGCTTCCACAAGTGCAGCTCTCTATATTATTATAAAACCTGTGTTTGTGTGTATACAGTATATTATACTAATATGCATTCTTGGCCGAGCAATCCTTTACATACCACAGCAGATAAGGTGATTTAGGAAAAGGAGTAAAAAATTTAACGCTCTGTTGGTTGGTTAGACACACGCTAAGAGCATGCAATTAGCGCATGCGTGAGGTTGTAACCTACGCGCATGTGCAGATAAATTGGGGGGTGTGTCCGGATCTCGACGACTTCTCACTGGGCAGAGATGAGATCTCTAGTTATCTTGTACCTGTCGCTGTGTGGACTAGTTCCATACTGCTGTACATGTGAGTCTTTGCCACAGCATAACACACAGTGTCTCGACACGTAACCCGTAGCCCGCGGTCTGTTGGAAAACACTCGCTGCCGGCAGTCTCTGTAGTGGTATCCTATGGATTTCACATCTGTCTTCATTTCTTAGCTCTGTCTATCCGTCTGTCTGTACTACACCTCTCCCTTCCCCTAGCCTCGCCTACTGTCCCTCCCACTGACACTGCCACTCCAGATGGTGATGGGGGAGAAGGAGAGGGAGGACACGGTAATGAGGCTCCCATCACTGGACATACACTGGCTGTTGTGATTGGTACGTAAGTGACCTGGTATTTCAGTAATTTACATGTGGACTACCTCATGTTGTCTGTGGTATACACAAGTATCAAATCCCCCCCCCCCCCCCCCTCTCTCTCTCTCCCAGGAGTGTCAGTGGGTTGTCTGATAGCTCTGGTGGTGGTGATATGTCTGGTGGTGGTAAGAGGTCTGAAGCACAGTTATGGCGGGTCCTCATCTTACTCTGTCAGCCACATGGAGAACCAGCAGAAAGACACGACTCCTAGTACCACTAACCCCATCAGTACAGGTAGACAAGTAAAGTCACTTGAGGTGTGTTGTTTGAAAACTGGTAGCTAAGGCAGTGAGCAAAAAGTCATTTGTGTGTTGGTATGTCTTGAGCCATAGAGTCTAGAGATGTGTGGCTTTTGTTTATTGTCACATGTGCTAATGATACCTTAACCAACACTAAAACTACCATAAGTGTGGGTACTGTGTGTTTGTATGTACATAAATGTTGTACATCACGTGAAGTTGCAATGTTACAGAATGACACTTTCTGTGTACAGAAATAGCTGAGGGAATGGCAAATGGAACTGGGTCATTTACAAGAGAAGAGCCACAGCCTAAACTGAAAGAAACTAATAAGACATCACCACAAACTACCACCGTTTAGACCAGTTAGGGCAAAATTTTTATGTTGTTGAATCATTTTTGATCATCTGCACATTCATTATGAAAATATACACATCTAAACCAGGATCTTGTGCCAAGTCGGCAATTTCAGCACGTAATTACATAACACTTTTAGCTAATAGTCTCATATTCCTCATCATTGTTTACTCTGCCTGTTGCTGTGGTGGCATATGCAGCATTGGGAGCAGTAGTTATAGCAGAAGTGGTGGCATATGCAGCATTAGTCTCCAATACAATGACAGGCAGAACTTCGTCATATATTACATTACTGGCAGAAGTAGCTAAAGCAAGAAAACATCTTGTACACAAGGTCTGCACAACTTTCTCCTCTCACCGATAACTTTGGATTTCATGCGCCGAAAGAGACAAAGTACTGTTACACCCAAAATGCTCGTCAGAGCAACAAACAAAGCAGCCATGCCTGTGGGAATTCAGTTTAAGGCAGAGTTTACACACTTATTGTCCACTGACCAACTGACAGAGCAACCACGTCTGTACTGGCTCTGCCACTCTTGCTGTGATCAGCCACAGCTGGGTTTAGGGTAGTGCCATCTACAAAGGTCAAATAATAAATTTGATTACATTCACACTTTATACCACCAACCTGAGGTGAAGGTAGGTGTTGATGTAGTGCTGGGAGAAACTCCAGAGACCTCTGCTACTGTCACCACAGCAGGCTCCTGGTCCTCCATCTCTCCATCATAGACTGTCACAGTGTAGGTCCCAGTGGAGAGGTGGGGGAATGCTAGAGGTCCTCTGAAAGTCTCCACCCACCGTCCCCCCTCTCCCTCCACCACCACTGTACATGTGGTGTTGTGAGGGGAACCTTCTGCAAACACACACTCCACCACCAGTCCATTTCCCTCCTCCTCCTTCACTGTCACTTTCTGGACATGGTGGGTGGCTGTGTACACACAATTTCGTAGATGCAACACCAAAGAATGATTGCTCACAGAAGTGTGCTGTGGAGAAGTGTTGCTGTTGGAGGGAGAGGGTGGCAGTGTAGTGGGTGTGGGGGTCTAGGAGGTGTGGTTCCAGGACCACAATGATCTCTGTCTCTCTTACTACTGGCATCAGTACCTCCTGACTAGTCCCTCCAGTCTTTTCCCCTCCACTACCACTTCTACTTGTACTGCCTGTGTCATTTCCTGCTGACAATGTCACCATCACACTATCAATACACACATCATTCTGAAAGAGAGCGCAAACTAAGGATTTTACAGCAATAAAGAACCGCTTTACCTTGCTTTGTACTCGATATAGCAATATCTCCACTGTGGGTGTCAAAGTTGAGTTGTTGAATTTCACTTTACTCTCAATAGATCTATCTGACACCAAATCTGTAATGTAATAGTCTTTGATACATGATACCACTGACACAGACTTCAGACTACATCACCTTTCAGTCTGGTACAATCCCCAGTGGAGGTGGGGGGAGAGTAGTGGAGGAGAGGAGAGGGAGCTCCGAGACCCACTGGGTTCTCAGCTCTCACACTCAGCCACACGGGGAAGGCATAGCGAGGGAAGAAGAACTCTGTGGAGGTGCCAGACAGACTCCAGGTGAAGTTGGTGGTGGAGTCCAGGAGGTCTCTGGAGACGGAGAGGTCGTAGGGGTCGCGAGGGGGAGGACTCTCCATCTCTAGTGTCACTGAATAGCCAGTGATGTCATCCTCGTAGGCCGTCAGGTCCAGAGTGAAGGGAGGAGTCCACCGCAGCACTTGGTGGGTGGCATTGTGGTGAACTATCTCCAGAGCAGTTGGTGGATCAAGCAGACCTGGTTGGGAACACATTGTGGAACAATCAACAGTGAATACAAGTATAGCAAGCTGCTGCCTACCTTGAATCCTGAAAGTAACTGCAGCACTTGTCAGGGGAGCAGTGTCAGAGAACTGTGCTACACAAAAGATTCTTGTATTGTTATTTTCGACTCTTGGGTCGATACCAATGACAGTGAAAGATCTGTTATCTTCTCTGACCAACATGTAGTCGGATACTATCCCTCTTTCTGCTAGAAGTTCTAGTCCAATTTCTTGAATAGTCTTCCCATTAATATCCCATAAAAAATTATATGTATCATTCGGAGCCTCGCACATGAACTCCACTGGATCTCCATTCAGACTGGAGTTGTAGCCATCAGGAATGATGTACGGCTGATATCGATCTACAATGCAATAATCTTGCTTACATTGAAGAATCACAGTACATAAGAAACCTGCATTAATAGAGAAAAGAAGCATCAATCCACACAGGGCGCGACGTAGGACGTGCATCTTCGCGAGTCTGTTGACGACTTGCATTGGCGGAGAGATCGAGCCCGAGCAGTTCAATATTTCGTGCGAATTTTGCGCGTTTAGAATCATTACGGTATATGCAGTGCCGATCTTCTGCTCTTTTTCTCTCGTTTCGGCGCTTCTGTGTTCTTGTGTACATCTTTACTGTATTCTTTAGCTCATGATATTCAGATAGAGAAGTTACCAGACTCGTTAGGAACACTGCAACACTTCAACAGACTCATTCACTACGCCATCTCGCATCGACATGACGAGCCAACCGCAGAAAATGCGCCAATTAGCGCGTGCGCCATTGCTCAAATAAAGCGAGGATGGGGGTGCGGTGGTGCTAGATTTCTGATCGAGATGTCGGTCCTCTGGTTCCTTGGGTTCCTCAGGTTCCTCCAGTTCCTCCAGTTCCTCGTCGTTTTTGCAATATCGGTTATTCCTCTTGTTCGTGCAGGTTAGTGACCACTATTTGCCATGGCGATCGAGGGATAGCCGCTATTTTGTCGCTGATCAACAGATCGATATCAGCCGTACATCATTCCTGATGGCTACAACTCCAGTCTGAATGGAGATCCAGTGGAGTTCCCGTGCGAGCTTCCGAATGAAGCATCTCAATTTGCGTGGCTCATTAATGGGAAGAATGCTCATGAAATTGGACCAGAACTTCTAGCAGAAAGAGGGATAGTATCCGACTACACCTTGGTCAGAGAAGACAACAGAACTTATACTGTCATTGCTATAGATCCAAGAGTCGAAAATAACAATACAAGAATCCTTTGTTTAGCCTATTTCTTGGACACTGCTCCCCTGATAAGTGCTGAAGTTACCTTCAGTATTCAAGGTAGGCAGCAGCTCACTCACTCACTCACTCACTCACTGTTGATTGCACCACAATGTTCCCAACCAGGTCTGCTTGATCCACCAACTGGTCTGGAGATAGTCCACCACAATGTCACCCACCAAGTTCTGAGATGGACTCCTCCCTTCACTCTGGACCTGACGGCCTACGAGGACGACATCACTGGCTATTCAGTGACACTGGAGGTGGAGAGTCCTCCCCCTCGCGACCCCTATGACCTCTCCGTCTCCAGAGACCTCCTGGACTCCACCACCAACCTCACCTGGAGTCTGTCTGGCGCTCCACAGAGTTCTTCTTTCCTCGCTACTGCCTTCCCCTGTGTGGCTGAGTGTGAGAGCTGAGAACCCAAGTGGGTCTCGGAGCTCCCTCTCCTCTCCTCCACTACTCTCCCCCCACCTCCACAGAGGATTGTATCAGACTGAAAGGTAGTCTGAAGTCTGTGTCAGTGGTATCATGTATCAAAGAGTATCATCTTACAGATTTGGTGTCAGATAAATCTATTGAGAGTAAAGTGAAATTCACCAACTCAGCTTTGACACCCACAGTGGAGATATTGCTATATCGAGTACAAAGCAAGGTAAAGTGGTTCTTTATTGCTGGAAAATCCTAAGTTTGCACTCTCTTTCAGAATGATATGTGTATAGATAGTGTGATGGTGATGCTGTCAGCAGGAGATGACACAGGCAGTACCAGTGGCAGTGGTAGTGGAGAGAGAGGGACAACAGGAAGTGAGACTGTCCTGATGCCAGTAGTTAGAGAGACAGAGATCAGTGTGGTCCTGGAACCACACCTCCTAGACCCCCACACCCACTACACTGCCATCCTCTCCCTCCAACAGCAGCACTTCTCCACTGTACACTTCTGTGAGTTGATTAGTTACTGGCACTACATATTTGACATGTAGGCACACCTCCAGAGAACAAACTGAAAGCTTTTTCAGGGTATGACGTGTGGACCTAACCAAATAAGGGTTCTAAAGGAGTATAGGGTATTATACTAGGTATTTCACATATGAATTATGACTTTTACTCTGAAATGGGGGTGTTTCTGAAAAACAGGGGGTCGTTCATAATATCATTATACCCCCCAGCCACCCACCGTGTGCAGAATGTAAGTGTAAAGGAGGAGGGGAATGGACTGGTGGTGGAGTGTGTGTTTGCAGAGGGCTCCCCCCAGAACATCACATGTACAGTGGTAGTGGAGGGAGAGGGGGGACAGTGGGTGGAGACTTTCAGAGGACCTCTGGCATTCCCCCACCTCCCCACTGGGACCTACACTGTGTCAGTCTATGATGGAGAGATGAGGGACCTGGAGCCAGCTGTGGTGACGGTAGCAGAGGTCTCTGGAGTTTCTCCCAGCACTTCATCAACACCTAGTGGGGGTAAGTGAATTCAATAAACACTTATTCAAACCTGACCTTTTTACTTGCAGGAGCTGCTACCACTGACCCAACAGTTCATGGTGGACAGAGCATGAAGGGTGGCATCCAGAGAAATACTCTTATAGTTGTGATTGGTTAGCACACACCTACTCCCTGTTGTGTGTTTCAGTCCTTTGCAAAGCTGTCAGTCTGTGTTTTCTCCAGGGCTGTTTTGTGTCCTCAAACTAATCACATTATTCTGTGGCCTATTTGTGGGACTACCTTATTATTACCCTCTCTAGGAGCTTCAGGTGGTCTGGTAGTTCTACTGCTGGCTGCAGTAGTAATAATATGTCTGGTAGTGTTGGTACTGAGACTGAGACGCAGAGGCAGGTCTGCCTCTTACCATGTCAAGAAATTTGAGGATGAACTGACAAAAGGACCACCAAATGCCACCAACCCTATTATTATCGCAGGTGAGCAAATCGACCTGTGTGGGACTTTAGCTGAGGATTGCTAGATCAGTAGCTGACCTGTGCATGAGTAATCATTCCTTAGGTTGACAGTTACTCATCACATGTCACAATGACTCAATCCCCCAATAGGATTCTATTTGTATAGTCAATGTGTAACTGCATGCAATCAGTGCACCTTATTTGCAAACTATCTCCATATCTCCCTTCAGGAGATTCACAAGACATAGAATCCTCTTATGACAAGTAAGTTGATACACTTTCTATACCTGTCATAGTAAGGCAATGTGTAGGAAGTATGGCTGGAATGCTAATCTGAGCCAAGCCCTAAATGGACGAGCCCGTTGTCTTTACTAATTACTGCTATTCAGCCATGTCATTATGTAGACTCTTTTGACATCCTGAGAATGCTTGTTCCACTGAATAGAGTACTGGACAATAGCAATGTGTGCATGTGGAATTACCAAAAGATAGGCAATGTTCCACAGCAAGCTGGCTTCTCTAGCTCTCCAGTGTAAGTATAGTGAATTACTATGGTTTGCTAACCAATAGCATTGTTCTATGAGCCTTGCCTTGTACCAACAGGGATGTTGCTATATCAGAGTTACATGTACAACTGTTGTTCTTTCCACTAGACCACCACTAGAAGAGGGTATTCTAGAGAGTCAGCCACCCAGACAACGGAGTATTATTGAGAGTCCCTATGAGGTGGTGGACCAGGAGGAGGCTAAGGCTCTGAGAGAGAAGAAGGAGAGAGAGAAGAGGGCGAGAGAGGAGAAGACCAGATCAGCTGCTGTCAAACAGCCAGTCTTCACAGAAGAGGAAGTTAGTGGCTGGAGATGAGTCTCTGACCTTATTAGTGGCTATTTTGCTTGTTGATTGGTCAGAGGAAGAGGGAATTAGCCACTCCATTAGTCACTGCTGCTGCGGTAGTATGTGGTAATGTGTTGACAGAGATGAAGACATAGTTGCCAGATCTTCCCTGGGTCTCCCCCATTTTTACAAATATTGACATGTGCAATAGCGGAATTGCAGGCTTATATGTGCCATATTTCAGATATGCTTTCAATTTTCAGTGTTTGTTGGTACACCTGAACCTTAGTTGCTGTCTATACCCTTTTTAATACCCCAGTGACAGTTTACCAACTCAGGAGGCTCTAGTTTCATTTTCCTCCCCTTTTTGCTGTTTTTCAACTCCCTCCCTCCCTCCCTCCTCACAGCTGCTGGAGATCAGGAGACACACCTACTCCACAGTAGACCTAAATAAGAAGAAACAGAAGAAGAGAGACAAAAAGAAGAGAGATAGTTCTCCACCTCCAGTCCCTCCACAAGCGTTCAACTATCATGAGGTAAATAATATGGGCTGACTTGTTCTAGCTAACGGTATTCAAGCTGTTGCATACTTGTGGATTGTCTGTGTATTATCTTGACCTTGGAAGCACAATTCTTCCACTCTGAATTTACAGGACTTCCCTGAAGAAGGAGAACCAGCTGCAACTGCTGAACACTACTCCATACAGGTGACTCCTTTTAGGGGTGAACCCTCCCATTTGGCTCCCAAACCCTATATACCGGAATAAAAACTAATCTTCCCTTCTCCTCCCTCCCTTCCCTCCCTGCTCTTTTCTACCTCTTCATTTTGTTGTTTTCCTCCCCTTCCTGTATATACCCCCAGGCCAATGGCGGTAGTAGTCATGTTTATGACTCACTCCAGACAGCCACATCCCCTGCCATCTCTCCTCTACACACTGAACCTGCCGTCCACAGCGGAAAAGACCAGGTGCTCCAAATACCTCTTTACTACCATCCAATATACTTGGAACCATTGCCATGTTTACGAAACACATGGTCCTCTTAGTGTACATACGTAATATGTAGCCATCTATTAGAACACTTTTTTAATTGTTGGCACAGTTGGAGTATGTTGGACTAGCTTAGACACTTGAAGGGAATGTTGCAGTACATACCGGCTAATTTACAATAGTGCCCAGTGCAAGAAAGTTTAGTTTTCGGTAAAAGTTTCTAAATTTAGCCCTTGTTATACTGCCACATATTCTTTAAGGGGTATCTGGACAGAGTGAAGTTTTTCCCATGCATTAAGGAGTCGTCTGAGTTACGTCGCTCATCGTTATTTTTTGCACCGCAACCTCTACAGCAGGGTACCTCTCCTGGACCACTCACCAGTGGTAATGGCGGTGGAGGAGATGATGTGAAGAAGTCTGGAGATCCAGTGTATGAGACCATCACTGGACTGACTCTACCTCCATGTTCTCACCAGTCCTCCTCCTCCTCCTCTTCCTCTCCCTCTTCCTCTCCCTCTTCCCCACTGGAGGAAAAAGAGACCACCAGACTCATCCCTCAGCCAGTGAGATCTCTCTCTTTTCTCACGTGAAGTTGTAACACATTGTTAGCTGTAATAGTGGTCCTGTTGAGAATTATTATTATAGTACTGTTTGTTGTAGTGGTGTTAGTACAATCAGGTGCTCAAATATACAAGATGTGTGTTTGTGTGCTGCATGTGCAATATTAGCTGTTTGTGTATTTTGAAGTTGAAAGCTATTTTACTGTCTTTCTCCCAAGCAGGTTGCTCCAGACCTACCTCCCAGATCAGCTCACATGATATCCAGAGTCAACAGACCTGCCTCCAGTCGTAATGGTAGGTCACAACACGTACAATGTTCACTGCTGTATTATACTGTGGGAAGTTTTGGAAGAGTTTTCTACAGTGCCTCATTAAGTCAAGGCTCTGTTGTCGTTTGAAACTCAGTTTCCCTCTGTATATATATCCCCAGGATCTCGTTACTCTATGATTGAGGGAGGGGCCACCTCATCACCAGCACTACTCCCCAGACCTCAGAGTGCCCACATCACCCTGTTCCCCACCACTGGCAGTGGCACTACTGGTGCACTCACCAGAGACTCGCTGGAGACTAGTGGCAAGAACGGCAGTCTGCCTCTACTGGCATTCACGCAGAATGTCTGAACTCAATCAGTCAATCATCTTTCCCTAAGTTTTTTTTTATATTAACTCTGATTTCTGTGATTTACTTTGTGTATTGGAGAAATAATTATGTCACTAAAGGGAACATGCAGTAGGCTAGGAGGCATAGCAGAACTCTCTGAAGCACAACAATGCATGGTGACTTCTTGTGCGCATGCGAGCCCAGGTGCATGCGCAACATCGCGGAGAGCTGCACAGCCAAACCACTGGTTTGCTGTGTGTGCGGGACTGATAATAATGGTGTCCATGGCTCCGGCAACGGCTGTTCTAACAGTCTGGCTACTACTGTGTCTCTCATTCAGACCTAGCGGAGCCAATGAACCAGGTGAGTCGCGCGTGCAACCTACGAATAGACCCATATTCACTGCCATCATTATTTCCCTGCAGTGTTGACTCCACTCTCTCTTGTGTCTAGTATGGATCCCGAGAGACTGCATACTTTCCACTGCACTGCTAATATCTCTGGCAGACATGATGTCCTTATTGATGGGTTGTTTTTCAATGAGGAGGAGATTGTGAATAAAGGAATCACTCTCACTTTCGAAAGCAGTGGTGTCTTTCCTAGCTCAACAATATATGTCCCAGCAACCATTGATAACAACAACACCAGCATTCAGTGTCTGTTATACACTGATTCCGGTAGATTGGACAGTCTAATTGGCAGGTTCTATGTCCAAGGTAAGTAGCTGAGTAAATAAGCTACAGAAGTTTTATGCAATACCTGACAGGTTTACTGGAGGCCCCAGCTACGGAGCTAGCAGCAGTCAATGCCAGCTACCTATCATTCTCCTGGACTCCTCCATTCTCTCTGGACATCCCCGACTCCAATCCTGACATCTTGTTCTACTCATTCTCAGAGACTCTGAGCCCATCATCTGGCAACGTATCAGAGCCACAGTCTCTGGTGTTCCCAGTCCTGGCCACACCTGTAGAGTTCTCTGTCACTGCCTGGAACATTGTGGGAGAGGGGGCCACTGCTTCTGCCACTCACCAGCCCTGCTCCATCTCTCTGGGTGAGACCTAGACTGTACCACACTCACTATACCTCTTTTGAAACATGCAGAGCAACAAATAGTCAATTCAGCTGATGTTAAGATTGAGGTGATGTATCAGGAACCTGGAGGGGCCTTCCTCTTCCTTTCTCTACCTTGGCCGGTTGACTGTTTCCCTCTGTTTTCCCTGGAGCTGGAAGAACTAGAAGAAGGGGAAGGCAGAGGGACTGTCACTCACAGTCGACTTGTTCCTGGTGTGACTGGTAGTGGGGGGGGGGGGTACATCTGATGGTTCCTCTCCAGGGAAGAGATAACACTCTCAACACTGCCCAAATCACTTCCATCAGCAGTGAGAGAGATGTCCCAGCACCTGACAAACTCCAATACAGTGAGTGTCAATCAGATTATCCACCAAAGTGCTTTAGAGAATTGACATCAGGTACTCATGACGTTCAGTTGGTGGAGATAGACTTTACTCCCACCTCCATCATTGCCAACTGCCAGTTTGCAGTCGGGTCTCCAGCACTGGGCTGCTCCGTACACATCGTCTCCCAGGACGACACCTCAGTCATGATGTTGTCAGTGATGAGAGAGTCTGGTGCTAACGAGGAGGGGCTCTCCCTCAGTGCAGAGGGGAAGGCAGAGGACCTGGAGTCAGGGGTGTACACAGTGAGAGTGTATGACATAGAGAGCAATGGAGAGACCAGTAGTAGTGGAACACCAGCTCACACTGAGACTGTCGACATTACTCAACCCACCACCTCCACTCCTTCTACTACTCCGTCTCCTAATGGTATCAATACTGAGGAGTTCTCCTCCACCAATACTAGCTCTTCAGGTAGGCCTTAGACTACAGAACCTATGATTTACCACCCTTTCTACTAAACAAGCTGATGTCCTTAATACAATCATTTTTCTACATAGAGGAAGAACAAAGAGAGATGTCTGTTATTGAAGGCCCAATAATTGCTGGTAAAACATGGTGTTTGTAATGAGGTTGCCATCACCCATTGCTCACAGGCATAGTGGTTGCGTTTTCTCTGGTATGTGGTTCGGTGGGGTTGGTTCTGGGAATAGTGCTCTGTCTGTATCACAGACACGAGAAGCTGAGACCAACAACTGTCACTAAAGGTAGGTGGGAGAGTACTTGCATTACACAGTGGTACAGTTTGTGTTATAGCTACAAGGGGGAGGCAAGGAATCTCTGGAACTTAGTATTATGCATACATTGTTGAAACATTATATAGCACATTGCCATTTGCAGCTCTTTACATGAGAAGGATAAGAACATTATAGTCAGATACTTAACGTGTTTGCATCCCCAACAGGACCTGATGTGGAGTACGATTATATTATGCCTACTGTCAATACTGCCATTCCAACTAAACCCAACGCAGCCTATGTCAGCACCAGAATGTCTCAGACTACTACCATACCCACTGACCAGAATGCTGCTTATGGAGTATTATAGCTAAATACATTTTATGTGGTGCTTTGTTAATCTTATTGTGTCTCGTATATCACTGCTTATACCCTATGATTATTTTTTATGGTGTCTGCTGTTGTGATTTTATACAGTATATAGTTATAGAGAGGCGGTGCAATAATTAGCAGCAATGGCAGAGGTATATATGGTAATGCTGAACTTCCTCATACACCTATATACTGGCCTGGTGCATATGAAGAAAGTATTTGCTGATTGGGGCAGCCACAATATATACCTGCATCTGCGCGCACACAAATCCACGTCGATCGATGATCAAAGCGGCATAGCAATTCAGCGCATGCGCATACAATGTCGAGAATGCGGCATTTATTTTACAGAGCTTCCAGCTGCAACGCAGAGACTTTGTGGAGAATAATGGTGTCCATGCGAGCCGCTCCGGCAGTATTTGTTCTAACAGTCTGGCTACTACTGTGTATCTCATTCAGACCTAGCGAGGCCAATGAACCTGGTGAGTCGCTGTAGTAACGTACGTAAATCAACCCATATTTACGGCCATCATTCCCCTGCAGTGTTGACTCCGCTCTCTCTGGTTGCTAGTCTGGATCCCGAGAGACTGCATACTTTCCACTGCATTGCTAATAGCTCTGGTAGACTCGATGCTCTTGTTGACGGGTTGTTTTTCAATGACCAGGAGATTGTGAATAGAGGAATCATCGTTACTCTGGACAGCAGTGGTGACTTTCCTCACTCAAGAATAGAAATCCCAGCAACCATTGAGAATAACAGCACTAGCATTCAGTGTCTTCTTGGTTCAGATCTTAGTCCAATTGGCAAGTTCTTTGTGCAGGGTAAGTTAGCAGAATGAAACATAACAATGATAGCTACTGTCCATGGATATATATTTTAGGTCTACTGGATGCCCCAGCTACGGAGCTAGCAGCAGTCAATGCCAGCTACCTATCATTCTCCTGGACTCCTCCATTCTCTCTGGACATCCCCGACTCCAATCCTGACATCTTGTTCTACTCATTCTCAGAGACTCTGAGCCCATCATCTGGCAACGTATCAGAGCCACAGTCTCTGGTGTTCCCAGTCCTGGCCACACCTGTAGAGTTCTCTGTCACTGCCTGGAACATTGTGGGAGAGGGGGCCACTGCTCTGCCACTCACCAGCCTTGCTCCATTTCTCTGGGTGAGACCTTCTCAGTAATGGGGGAATATCTTTGTTGTGGCCAATTGTTCTCCCACACTAACAGTTTGTAAACATTGTAGTACACTCATCTAGTTAACACTTTTCTCTCTTGGTAAAACACACAGAGCAACAAACAGTCAATCCAACTGATGTGAAAAGTGAAGTAATCTACAAGGAAAATGAAGGGGTCTTCCTCTTCCTCTCTCTACCTTGGCCGGTTGACTGTTTCCCTCTGTTTTCCCTGGAGCTGGAGGAACTAGAAGAAGGGGTCGAAGGCAGAGAGACTGTCACTCACAGTCGACTGGTTCCTGATGTGACTGGTAGTGAGGGAGACAGAGAGGTACATCTGATGGTTCCTCTCCAGGGAAGAGATAACACTCTCAACACTGCCCAAATCACTTCCACCAGCAGTGAGGGAGATGTCCCAGCACTGGACAAACTCCAATACAGTAAGATGTTTGTAACAGTCTCCTAGCTAGCTATCATGCATAGTTAGTCTATCCAAGGATTGGGATTAGGACTACAATACAGTAAGTACAGTCAGCTAGCTGTAGTGTGCAGCAGTGAGAAGGTGATGGTGTAAGATAGGGATCTGTGAAGGTGTTAGGTTGGGATCAGGACTACGTGTTGTTGAACACACACAGTCTCCAATATTTCCGCTGACTTGTTGGACATGCAGAGAGGAATGAGGGCTGTCACTGCCCATGTGCTATCTTCCCACCCATACACATGTAGGCCTCCATACTTCACGCATTCTTGGCATACTAACAACCCATAAAGAATCATACAGACCTGCCTCAAATTACGGCCAGTGTTTTCACAGAGAGATATGCTGCGTGCTCATCATCTAGACCCAGTGTAAACACACCTAGGGAGATGAAATTTCTCATGTGCATCGTACCTGGTGCGGTAGTGAACCGGTGGAGCTAACAAAGTCCATATTGTGAGCCAGTCTAACAACAGAGAAGTCATAGAGTCTCTGTCAGTGTGGATACAGAGGTCATAGAGTGCTCAGCTCCAGAGGAACAGTGCTCATAGCACCTACCTACCTGCATGTATATATATTACTGTTGTGAAGACGTAGATAATGGTAGCTACACTGAATCCGTGATGCTTTGTTTATAGGCTAATGAGTTTTTGAGTCAAGATCCTCCAGGGCAATATGTTCTTTCATAGAGATTCAATACATTGTGCTGTCAGTAGGTACATTTAGTCCACCATGGTGACGTGATGTACCACTCCAGGTACTCATGACGTTCAGTTGGTGGAGATAGACTTTACTCCCACCTCCATCATTGCCAACTGCCAGTTTGCAGTCGGGTCTCCAGCACTGGGCTGCTCCGTACACATCGTCTCCCAGGACGACGACACCTCAGTCATGATGTTGTCAGTGATGAGAGAGTCTGGTGCTAACGAGGAGGGGCTCTCCCTCAGTGCAGAGGGGAAGGCAGAGGACCTGGAGTCAGGGGTGTACACAGTGAGAGTGTATGACATAGAGAGCAATGGAGAGACCAGTAGTAGTGGAACACCAGCTCACACTGAGACTGTCGACATTACTCAACCAACCACCTCCACTCCTTCTCTTGTTACTACCTCCAGTGACACCCCCCCTCCCGATCCAGGTTAGACTAGTTTACTGCTTGCCTGCTATACACCATGACCCATACCTAATGTTGATCTTTCTACATCTCCCTCTCATGTAGTTATTACAGATCCCCTCAGTCCAGAGCGAAACACACAGTCCAGCAATGCAGTTCCTATCATTGCAGGTTTGTACATTGTAGCTAGTACATGGCTGCCAAATCAAACATCACACATAATTATAGATATAGTGTGAGTGTTGAAATCAGTTAATAAACCAGTCCATGTCTCTCCTCGTCAGGTGCTGTAATAGCAGGGGTCCTCCTGGTGTCCCTGGTGTTGCTGATACTGGTGTCAGCCACAGTGTGGAGAGCCAGAAAAAGGAGAGAGAGAAAGGCAGAAGAAGCAGGTAATTAACAAACAAATTCTGCTAAGTTTCTGTGTGATCGTGTATGCCAAAACTAACTATTAACCGATATTTAGGCTGATTATGGGCAGAATTGATGAATTGCATAATTGATTGGTATCTAACCATAGTTTCCCCTAGAATTCCAACCAAAGTCAATTGCACGACTTTATGTGTGTGTAATTGCACATTAGTGAAAACTCAAACATTCTGGTTACACAGTTACACATCTCTCCTCTGTCCCTCAGAGTCAAGGGAGAGAGAGTTTGTTCTCATTTCGACCGGGGAAGCCATATCGTCAGAGAGCATGGCGACGGCGTACCTTAGCCCCGCCCACACCCTCCAAGTCTCCTCTTCTTCCAGCCCCTCCCACACCCTCCCTGGCTCCGCCTCCTCCCTACATAGAAACAGTCTCTCAAAAGAGTGAGTCTTGCAACCACACAGCATAGTTGCCTGTTGGGGTTTGCTGTTGACATACACTAATGCACCTTTTCTCGGTGTTTGTACAAACAGTTAAGCTCCCCAACATTTTCATGTTGTTCAATGTGTATATAGAGCTGTTGTTTTTCAGGGATCAGAAGGAATTTTATCCATTCATTCTTGCATGAGGTGGGTCTGGGGTGTGTCCAAATGCCAGCACATAATTGTCAATCAATCCTGAATGACTGAGGATTAGCAGTGAATAACTACTACGCTGATGTACGCATAGCAAGTTTGTCTGAACTTGATTCACAGAATATATGAAAAGCGCTCATGACACATGAGGAACAAACCTTCTGGAGCAGATGTTGACAATTGATTCGCGGTCGTATTGGAATTTTGCACATTTTCTTATGCATGAACGAACTTCTTCATCCGTGTCAAAACATTCATTCTCTCCCTCTCCTCCTCCTCCTCTCCTCATAGCACTCTGCCTCCTTCCTATTCCGACCTGGACCCCACCAAGTACAATCACACTCGCTCCATGAGTGACGTGATTACCACTAGCAACCCTCGCAGCTCTGCTGGACCAGGGGGTGTGGCCTCCCAGTCAGTGGGTGTGGTTTTTCAAGAGGAACCTGTCGTAACAGATGGAGCTGCTGCCACAGACGATAGACATTATAAAGTGAGAGAGAGTGTGTGAGAGAGGAGGGTGAGGGAAGGAACGGGAGTTGAAAGGGGTATTGGATTAAAGTGATTGAAGTATGCCGAGTCATGACTAAAAAGGAAACGAAATCTCTTTAACTTTGGGGGGATTTGGCAGCAGTTTTCATCCAACTCTCCATCTTATCCCATCTCCCCACCTGTTCAATTCCTCTCTCTCTTTCTCTCTGGATGGTCGGCAATTCCAGTAGCCCCCCTCCCACCGCTCTAGGAATGCTCTCCTGAATGTTTCAGTATGCATAGCCACTGTCTGTCAACATGCCTGGCATTCTGATCATACTGACACCTGTCCTATATCACGTCTCTGGGAGCCTGTGGGGTCAGAGGTCGCTGCATCTGGTGACTGCAGTACAGTGTCACTGTGCTGTGGTCTTAGTGCATGAGTAGAATTAGGTTACTCATGATAGTTTTGAAATTCGAATTGATTAGGCGATGGTTTAGTTCAAGCAGTGTGTGGTATTCAAACTGGTGTGGTCCTACTCTACACATAGAGCACATCTCTTGATGTCGTGTGCAATGTACCGGTGTTTCCCTGCACTGTATATGTATGTGTGTGCAATCAGCATCATGGCTATGTGTTGTAGGTGTTAGTATTGTCCCAATGAAATGTGTAGTCATTATTCACTGCATCCCTTACTCTAGGGCTTAGAGCACACGTAAACTACTTCTTCTAATGTGTAACACGTGCAGACGTGCTTCTAGTGTGTACTGGAAGTAATGTAGGCACACAAGTACTGGCACCGACAGCTATAATATTACGTCTTGTCTGTGTGTGTGCTGGAGATATGTTTACTACGTGTGATGCTGTGTTTGCAGACTACTAAAACAGCTCAGAAGAAGACAGTGGAAATGACACTCTCAGCCCCGCCCACCTCTCCTCCCCCCTCCATTCCCAAGGTATGTATGTAGTCTCACCCAGAGATGGCTAGCTATGTTATCTGCATGGGAACATGCACAGTGTAAGGTGGAACAGAGGCCGCAATTATGCTGCACTGACAGTTTAGACAACTGAAGCCTATTCTTCCCAGCAATGGCTCATCATCCACTGTGGTATTATTGGCAAGTGACTGAGCGTACCTCATAGCCATCTATACATTATGTCATGCCACCACAAGAGAATGTTTCTGCATCGAGGAGCAGCAGTCTATGTTTTTAGTCCTCATTGCCATCTATACATTATGTCATGCCACCAGAAGAGAATGTTTCTGCATCGAGGAGCAGCAGTCTATGTTTTTAGTCCTCAGTTTCGAATCGTTTTGGTCTTGTTTTGGTACAAAACCAACACCCCATGGGAAAAGAAATACCCCCATGCCATTTGCGACCCTGAAACATTCTTGATACAGTAGAAAAAGGAGAAATCTATCACATACAGCTTTATAGCCACAACAGATTTATCTTTTACTATACAAGATGGAGGAATAGTGTTGCTATCAGTGAAGTGTTGGCAGTGGGAAACTAATTGATGAATTCTTCTCTTTTCCCCAGACCTACACCATCTCTGTGTCTCCCAAGACAACAAGCCACACCCACCTCGTTAACCACGAGCGCTCTGCCTCACTGGATGGTCCCTACCCTCCCTCCTCATCCTCCGTCCCTCCCCCTCACCCTCCCAAGAAGACGCATCCCAAGAGGCACAGAGCTCCCCCAGCTCCCTCCTTCTCCACTCCGGCCCTCCTCCCTCCCAGCATCACCTCCTCCCCACTCTCCCTCCCCTCCTCCTCCCTCACACCGGAGGACACACCCACAGGAGGGAGAGAGGTCCTCAGTCTTGGAGACGAGACTACCGTAAGTGTAATCTCTCACACTCTGTAAGCCTTTCGATTGTCCCTTATGTACTGAAAGAAATGTCCTTTATAGAGAGGGGTTTCCTTAATTGGGAGTGTCTATTTCAATTTCAATAGTATAGGGGTTTCCTTAAGAGTGTCCATTATAAGAGGTTTATGGCTCTTGGGGTTTCTGCAACTCACAATAGTGACAGGAATGGGTAGACTGAATGTGAAATAGAATTAAAATGGAAATAATGGGGTTGTTGTTGTTGTTGTGAGGGGTTGGGGGGTACAACGTGTTTTCCAGTAGCTCATAATCTTGTAGTCGCGGCCCACGGGATCTTGAGGAAACCCACCATTAGCTGGTCGTTCAGCCTCTACAGCAAACACAGCCATGGGGCTAATAGAACAAAGGAAATCCATTGCCTCGCCCACTGCCTGTAGTTGCGCGAAACAACCAATCATATTGTGTATAGAGACATGCACTAGTACATGTCTTATGTAGCTGGATGGTTGTAGGCAGCATGTGTTAGTACATGGATGGTTGGAGATGTTACTAACGAGGCATTATTCCCCCAGGGACCAGGTCAGTACACTATACACTCTGACTCATAGCATGACTACATCTCTCCCTCCTCTTTCTCTGTTAGCTACCGAGAAATGGGTTATTAGTCACAACAGGTTTAAAGGACCACTTAACCCCAAACAACCTCTTTCTGGGTCACAGGCATATTGAAAGTGTCATGTTTTGACTTGCAGCTTTCACACACATCTCCCACTCATCCTTAACCCCTTTCTCTCCCCCCACTTGCAGATTGTTGGTAAAAATCCACTCTACGGCACAAGAGCTGCTCTCCAGCTGAAGGCAGAGGGGAAGAAGGTATGGCTGCTGTTAGTCCAAATCATTCTATTCTCGTTCTCTCAATCTCCATTCCCCCATTCTCCCACCTCCAGAGGAGGAGTATCCACTACGCTGAGGTGGTACCGAGGAGTCAGTCTGTGGCCACACCCACTGTCCCAGGCCCCACCCACCCTCCAGACAAGGAGGTTGTCCTCTACAGTGAGGTCAATGTGAATGAGGTCAGTTAGTTCGTAGTGACTAAGACCAACTGGTAGTGTCATTGGGGCAGATCTGCTGATCTGACCTGCAAGACTGATCGATTGTGTGCTGCATGCATTTGAGTCTATGGCGTTGAAAGTGCACTCTTTGTCAAGTGCTCCTCATTTTATGCCCTCTTTAATCCATGAGTGTGCTATCCACCGCTGTATGCACACTTACTTCCGTGCTTAATTATTGATGTGTAAAGTCTTGCTTCTGGTCTTATGTCTGTCTTCCCTGGCCCAGACAGTGGAGGAACAGAAACTGGCAGTATTTCCTTTCTCCCCCAGTCCAGCTACGAATGAGTCCATCCCTCTTGGGATCTCTCGTTACACCTGCATACCTGTCCATTACTAATATCCTCTGCGTACTTCCCCTCTCCCTCCTTCCTCTTTCAGCTGGTGCCTCGACTACCTTCCAAGAGAACACACACAGCTCCATCCACCAAACCCCCGGAGACTGCTGCTCACACTACTCACTGATGATTATACTAATGACTGTCTACCCCTTTAATCACCATACTCCATTATTTCCACCCATTATTACTGTGTGTGTGTGTTTTTTTGAGCGTGTTTGTGTGCAAGAAATGTTCATGCTGCTTTTGTTTTATTTCCAAAAGAGTGATTTTTTTATCCACCACCATGCGCTCTCAATAATATACAGGAACAAATGCGCATGCGCAGGCGTACGTTTATAATAGCTTGCGGCGGAATTCGCGAAGGCAAACGTGCAAGATCAAAGAGTAGTCATGAAGACGTGCAGAGATCCAAGGCATATGTCGAACTCCAGGTGCTGGCGAAGCTCTCTACTGCTATTGCTAGTCGTGCTGGGGACCTGCCTGCGGCGGACGGCTGCCCAAACCGGTGAGTCCTGAGCTCATAGCTCGTGTGCATACTATATAGCAGCTGCCCATCTTCTCTGCACCTGAGCGGCCTCTGTGGTGCCTCTCAAGTACCGCCTGCTGCTATCCTTTTTGTGTTCGTGAACATCTGCATTTCTCAGGTTCTCTTGTTCGGCCGTCACCCTGTGCTCGTTTCCTTACCTTTGAACTACCAGTTCGCTGTGTTTTGCGTTTGCTCTATCCATATAGTGGTGTATCAGCATACCTCAGGCAGTATGTAGTCCTTTTTGTGTGATGTTTGGGTCGTGTTTGGGGTTTCTACATTGCCAGGAAAGCCTTGTACTTCAGCAATACTACAAATAGACGAAAGCATTCGTCACAAGTGGTGGAAAAACATTATTGAGTTGAATCAAACCAGTGTTCTTTGCAGTGTTTCTAAACCTCTCATTTCTGGAGAACTGAGTGATTTGGTCTTCTACTGTCCTCCTCAAACACATGCAGTTAGCAGTGGTATTACTGTATTCACAGAGATGTGAAGTGTATGTTTATGAACCCACTATATTCATGACTAGAGATGGCTAGATGGAGCTCCATGTATCACTTATGACGTTCTTATCGGCACATACCTGTGGTTTCTGAAACAACAGCAATATTATTATTCTTGCAGTTAGTGACGGAAAGATGGATCTATTGGAATGTGCAACTTCAACTCTTTGCACTCAGTAGCGGTATATCACCCTAAACAACGTCATTATGAAGACGTAACATTTTGAAATCATTCTGGAAAAGGCCCGTTAGTCACATGAATAGAGTAACTTTTGGAGCCATCTCCTTCTTACTACCTACAGAAGTGCTAAAAAGGCAGGCAATGTTCCATTCTAGCATTAGTATAGTATAGTGTATGATAACCTGGACTTTATACATGTCTCCCGGCATGGTTTAGTATTGCCTTATAATACAGCCAACCCTTGCAAGTAAGTTGTCTTCAATAGCTCTCAACATACACTAGGAAAGACCATAAGAGTGGAGTGGACCATATGTGGAGCAAGGTCTGGTGTGTAGTAAGCTATATTGGTAGCCTTTACCGTCAGCACAGACTTATAGGATAGGGGACAGCTACCTGGGGCTGTTTCGTGACTTATATGAACTGGATAGTGTGTATTATGCTAGTACACAGACCTTTACACTAGTTAGATGTGTGTGTTTCTCTATTAGCTGTGAATATGAACAGAGGATGGTGAATTTTATAATAGAACCAGTTGTGGACTTGCGTCACACTATGAGCAGTGTGCATGGATATAGGGGGAGGGGTGTGTAGTGGGGAATGTATGGGGGGGGGTGTTGGTTAGTTTACAGAGCTGCGGTGTGGGGGCCCTGCACTGGGCTCTATCTGGTATGTCGACTCCCTCTCACCTTACCCAGCAGGCATGTCCCCCCTGCTGCCTGTCCTGCTTGATGTGGCTGAGAGGGAGATGTACAGCTACATAGCTTCTTACTTCTGTCTTTCCATTTTCTTAGCTTATAACAATCATCTCACAAGGTATATATACTCAACCATTAACGCCCACTACACAGAATCCTCCTAACTAGACTAATTATATGGCCGGTAATGAGTTAATTAGATGAAGTGTAACTGGAGCAGGTAGCTACCACTTGACTCAAGAGGCTCTGTGGCCTTCCACCGCTACACAAACACTTCAGACACTGATTATGTAGTGTTGACACTAGACTAGCATTCCTGAGGCCCTTGAACCGGCACACTGTTCTCCAGCTTATGTACATGCAATTTGTAGTTATTTGCTGTCCATTTCTTAGTGCACAGTTAGAATATCCAGCAAACATACAAGTGAAGTAAGTAGCAATATGAGATCTCTGTCTAAAGACTGCTAGAGTCACAGTGAAATACGAGTCTGTGTGGCATGTCTGTCTACCTGCGTGCATGTGTGTGCATGTGTGTGTGTGTGTGGGTGTGCCTCGTCAAACGGCCTGGGATTTGTGTCTCTTCCCTTTCTCCACACCACTGGCTACAGAGAGTAGCCGCTCGGAATATGTACATACTGAGCTGCTGGCCCATCATTGCAGTGTGTGTGTGTGTTTTATGCAGATTATGTCTCACACAAAAATTCATGCCAAACTCTCTCTCTATCGCAGTAACAGTGAATCCCAGTAATGTGATTGCTATTCGTGGAGTGGATGGACATGACTTCACTAAGTTCTGTTTAGTGACAGACATTAGGTTAGACCTGCAAACAAATAATATCAGACTTTCAGAATGTATATAAATTCAATGCAGTGTTATCGAGATCCAGTGGCTCAAAGGAGAAGAAGTGGTTGAAACAGATACGACGGCACCTGGCCATTACTTCATCTCCAACCAAGACATGACAGTAGACACCTCGGGACAGTACTACTGCAGAGTGAAGGGAACTGACGGGACCTTGACTGAGTCTGCTGGGAGACTGACTGTACTTGGTTAGTAATAGAGTAATCCTTACTCTGAGCTCTGTGTGAGGTAGCATCTTCTGTGTAATGTGCTTCTCTCTTCACAGAGAATGAGGTGATAGTTGCTCCATCACCTCAGTATGCGGTGCTGGGCTCCAATGTGGAGCTGCAGTGTGGCATAATGGCAGAAGGAGTGACAGTAATAGACACGTGGGCTGTAGGAGATGACATGGATTTCGAGACGGGGTTGAACATGCTATCACCAGTGGAAATGGGAGACGAGGGGATGTATACCTGCAGACTGAATGATGAGAGAATGGAGATGGATGAGTTTGATACCAACATAGAGTTCAGGATTACTGGTGAGGTTCAAATGAGACTGTATCTATCAAATCATTGCAGACAATTTTTGGTTGTTCCTCACATCCTTTAGCCTTTCTTTCAGTTTTGCGAATGTCTCTTTTATGTAGTAAAGGAAGGCCCCCTATAGTTCCTCAAACAATCTATGTATCACTCTCCCATCCCTCCCCCTCCTCTCCCCCCTGCAGTTCCTCCATTGATACTCACCCCTCCAGAGTCTCTCTACACATTCACAGGTCAGCTCTCTCATCTCTTGACCTTGTTCTGAGGTTCTGTGGTTTGATTGTGCCAGTGACTCAACTTATCATTTCTTCTCGCAGACGACGCCTTCCAAAGCTCCATCTCTATCGGCTACTCAGGTCGTGAGGGAGACACCTCAGTAGTGGAGTGGAGAAAGGATGAGCAGCCCCTAGCAACCAACGGGGAAGGGTATGAGATCCAGGCGTCCTATACTGACCTGGAGGCCACCACTAGCCTTGTCTTCACTGACTCCTACCTCTCCCGCTCCTTTGAGGGAACCTACGATGTCGTCATCACCAATGTGAATGAAGTAATCCCTGTGGCGGAGAGGATAGCCACCACCTCATTCTCCATCTCTGTCACTGGTCAGTGGGTACAGTATAGTGGGAGGAAGACAACTTTCACCATTCAATGGCAGAGAGAATGATGTGGACAAAAATGATTGCAGATAGCCAGTCCCGCAATGCAAAATGTTCAAACCTACTAAATTTAACAAAGAAAAGTTTTGTGAACAGTTCAAAAAATGTGAAATTCCCATTCGTTCTGTCCCTTGAAATTTCCACACTATGCAGTAAACAACTACCTCACAGTACACAAACATTGAGCTATGAATCCATCATGTTGTTGAAATATACTCTGAGTTTCTAAAACTTCACGCTTCACTTCTCAGTCCCAATCCACTAATGTACTAGCAGAAGCATAGCGACAAACACTATAAGATTCGTTGGTGTTTTGCTGGATGTGACTGAACTATATCGTCAGTCCATATTTACACACACTGTCTCATAATACCAGACTGAGTTACGAGGGATCACATGACTAGTCACATGATCTCAACGTCCCCATGGTTACAGTGATGTGTTGATAGTGCCCTGAGGAGCGGTGACTGAGGGTAGTCTGTTGGCATGGGAGACTCGCTATAATTGGTCCTCTGACTCTAGTGTCGTGATAGGCCAATTCTCTCAACGATATTCACGAGGGGCTGGTAGCATGCCGCAGTTAATTTGTTGAAAGGAGGCACCGATGTTTACATCTGGTGTGTCTGTTCCCTCCTCATGTTCTGTCACCCCTACCTTCCCCTCCCCTCTCTCTCCATCTCTCTCTGTTACCCTTCCATGTCTACATCTTACTGATATGTAGCACTGAACTTCAAGGTCCTAAGTCCACACACCCACTGAAAATTCTCTCCTTCCCTACTCTCCATCCTCCTCCCCATGCAGTTTTACCAGCTACCATTACAAATGTCAACGTGACATCAAAGCCACCACTATCAGCTGTCGTTGAGTGGGTGGTGGTCTATCGCCATGCCGACGAACACCCAGACAACATTACAATCTTCGTTGAGAACGTAGAGACAGGGGCCACCTCGTGTCACCAGGTGGGCGATCCAGTCTCTACCCAATCGGCAGAGGTGGGTGTGGTTCCCGGGGTGGTGTACTCCGTTACCGTGGAGAGTGCTAACGAGGATGGGCGGAACCGGACTGTACCTGTCACCTTCACCACAGCCCCTGCTGGTGAGTGATTCATGGGGTGGTGTGTACTGACACAGGTGGTGTGTTGTGTTCAGGGAGCAGTTAAACCATTACTGAGAGCCGTGTGTGCGCCTGAGATTATGTGGACTGGAGAGCCATTTTAAGGCCCACTCGACAGCTAAAATCAGAGCCTTTCTGCTCTAGCTCTGTATAATGCAGCAGAATATTCTTGTGTGACATTTTTATTTTAACCCCTCCCTCCCTCTCTCTCCACACAGCTCCCTCAGTGTCTGCTGTGGAAGTGTCCAGGCTAAATTCCACCTCATTCTCAATATCCACCACTCTACTCTACACCGGAGGGGGCCCCGTAACTAAACTGATCGTCTCGTTCCGGATCATCGGGGACACGGAATGGAGTGGGGACATGAGAGTCACAGTGGTATGGGAATCAGACCCGCTGGTATGGACTGGGGTCGTAACCAACTCGGAGTTTGCTCAGTATGCACGGCTGGAGTTCAGAGTTCACGTGGAGAATGACAGAACCCTTGTGTCTAGAGATGAGATGCCTCATTCAGAGCCACTGGGTAAGATACCTGCATTTGCCTGCCTAATTTTCCACCAGGATCCATACATCATACCGATAAATTGTAGCTGAGTTTGTGTCGCCGTTTCTTTGGCTGGCTGGCTTACTATATATAGCTGATTGACTAGCAGTGAGTATATTGATATTAGGTGACAGTCATATATACAGACTGGCTGACTGATTTGATGAAGATTAACTAGCAATCAAGTGCTCTAAATATGCAGTATGGGTTGTTGTCGTCCAATGCCAACTAGACTCATTGCTACTACCTCTTGTAGCCAGCATCAGCAACTCATACCATTGATCACCATTACTCCCCCCACCCCTTCTCTTTACCCCTCTAGTCCTGCCCCTTGCTCCGGTAAGGATCGAAGCCATATCTACCACCACCACCTCAGCTGTAGTGGAGGTGGAGCTGTCGCCCGAGGGAACCCCTCCAATGATTGTCGTCATGGAACTGACGAGTCACCCTGAGCTTGGTTGCTGTGGTAACCAGACCATCTATGTCGGAGGTGGTAGTGTGAGGTTTGTGATCACTGGTCTGTCCAGAGACACTACTTACACCGTCAGTGTCTCTGCCATGAACCACGCTGGACAGGGGATTGGGAAACAAGAGTCTTTCTCAACTGGTTAGTTGGCAGATGACAGTACAGCATCACATATGATGTATATGAAGAGGGGGGAAATTGCAAGAAATTTCTGAGTTTGTCAAATATGGCGGAGCTACCAAGCATGAGTACTTTAATAGTGGCTCCAGCATTTCCAGCTCTGCACTTGTATAGCTGGGATCGAGTTAGTCTTAACAGATAGTCACTGATACTAACTTTTGAAGCTTGCAAAGGTTTTTTTCTCTTGAAGTACATACATACGTACAATGTCTCTCTGCAGATGGAAATGGCACGGTGCTCCCGCTGTGGCAGACTGTCCTCATTGGAGTGTGTGGAGCCATAGCTCTGGTGGTGCTCACCATCCTCTTCTGCCTCCTTCTCTGCTGCGGCTGCAAGGCCAGCAAAAAGTGGGGCAGGAGGGAATATCATACCGGTCCCAGTGAGTCTATCTCCATTTCTCACTTTGTCTTGACCTCTCTGTGTCTGATTGCAGTTGAAATGGCTCACAGGGAGCTGGAAAGAGGAAACCCGATGTAAGTGTTGCCTAACACAGCCCCGGACGCATCAATGCATCTAGAACCTCCAAAAGTCTAATATAATGCCAGAAGATGTCGTCTAAAGGGAATTATTATTTTCGTCAGTCATCTCATAGCATAACCCTCACCTTCCCTCTCTCACTCACTCCTTGCCCTGTCTCTACTCAGGCTAACTCGCAGCATTCGCTCCAATGGATATGCCGGGAGTCAAGTCAGCTTCGGGTCCAATCAAGGTCGACCTTTGACCCCTCGTACCCCCACTGGACTCTCCGTCACTTCTCCCAGTTTTGAGTACACTGATGCCCCCAAGTACAGTGAACTCACCACCAGCAGGTGTGTAGAACCAATATCAATGATGTCATAATTACATCACCCCTCTATTAGTAGAATGAGCTCATCGGTATTCCACACCAGTTCCAAGGACAAACTAACACACTCGACCTCCATCTCCCACGGCAACCTGTACTACCCCACCTACCCTAACGACTTCCCTGAAGAGGTAACCCCATAATCATTAATCATTTCCTCACTGCCAATCTCCATCTTTCTCTCTCTCTGTATATAGTCTGGCTACCAGTCCCTACCTCGAGGGATGGATAGAGGGTGTCCATTTGGCTCCATCACCCTCTCTCCCCCGCCTGCCCCTGTACCATGCTCCACTGATGTGTGACTTCTCTCTACTTACTACTCCATACCATTCAACACCATACTTCCCAAATTGACTGCATGTCTAGAACTCTGCTGACCACATGTCTAGCTGTTTTTATGTAGTAAATTATATCACTTTTTATCCTTTGTTGGAATTTTTACCCTGTAAAACAATCACCAACTACACAGTTTCTCACTATGTAATTTGATAACTTCAATCACATTCTTCTCAAATAGGGTCTCTTGTAAACACAGAACATTACACCATTTTGTAACCGACTACGCATGTGCGTAAACTGCGCATGCTCGGTCCGATCACTCCACGCGCGCGCGATCGCCGCGGCGATAAAGCCGTATGCGCAGCGCCTACCTTTTTAGCTTGGAGCTGATCATCATCTTACGAGAGTATTTGGGCTGCAAAGGTAAAGCTTTTTCGGCAGCGGAAAGCCAGATTTGCAGAAATGGTGTCCAGAGATCCCGAGTCCAGACCTCCATCTACGAGATGGCGAGCGTGTCTCCTCGGCCTGATGCTGTGCGCGACCTCCGCCGGAGCCAGCGAGGGTGAGGGGCCGTCTCTACTCCACCAGTATGGAGTACAACCGTTTGAGTTTGTCGTGCATGCAGCGGCGACTAGGGATATGAGTAGTAAATAGTGACGCGGAGCTGGTGTTTTCAAGTTGCGCAGGCTGCAGACTGCAAACTCTTGTTGATTTTGCGCGTAAAGTTTGTTTTGACAAAAGCAATAAAAAAGGCTCGAGATATAGTTTTCAAAAAGCATCAACATTTGGCGCCTGAGCTCTCGTGCAGTGTGTGGTGCCAGGCGTCAGTGAACGTCCAGTTTCAGTTGTACAGCTCTGAAAGTGTGTGTGAATGTACACTAAGTGGCTACTTGGGCAAGTGTGTATTGTGTGTGCTGGAATTGAATCAGGGGAGTTGGCTGCCGGCCTGCTGGGTCAGAACACCCTTGCCACTGGTCCAGTCAAGCCTCAATGTCCCCATTCAACGCTAGATTGCCCTGCATTCTGCATGTAATGCATACTACTGTCCTGCAGGGACTTTGTGTATGTGATCAAACTGAACCATGAGCCAAGTCTATAGCAGCCCTGCAGAATGTTGCAGTGTATATAGCATCTGCAGTGTATGCTGCATATTTTAACACTGTGTGTGTGTTATTTCGTACTCGTGTAGTGTGACAAATGACCCTGAAATTTGTGAGTAGAGAGCATTATCAGGCATGCTACACCGATCGCGTGTTTTTCCTGTCAACACTCCTTGTTTCAGCTGGAGCCAACCTACTGCGTAATTGGTTTTGTTTTGGAGGAAACAAAACAAGAAAAAAATTGTGCTTTTCTTATACTTCCCACTTTGTGAGTGGAGTGTGAGCTCCGGGTTTAAGGCTATTAGCTCTGGTTTCATGTTCCTCTTTAATGTGGCACGCTGCTCTGAGCCTTTTGTCGCGGACATAATTCTCAGACCACAGCTGAATGGCCTCCTACCTGCTGGCTCCTGCAGCATTTCCCCCAGCCATACAAACAGTGGTCAGAGCAGTATTAGCAATGTCAACTAACTCTTCAGTTTCCCAGGCCTCCAGAACACAGTATCCCCCTAGCATGCCTGTGGTGGCTGGCTTTACTTATCTCCTTTCATAGAGGAAATGTATGTACACTAACTGAAGAGGGAAAAGTAGCTTCTGTGAGTGTCTGTCCCTGTTTCTTTGTCCTGGTCAGCGTGGTCAGTGTTCTTGGTTTTCCATTTTCTCTTTCCAAATGATAATTAGGTTTCCTTATTGCTCAGCCTCATTTGGTCATTGAAAGACACACACTCACCCACTCTTGCTGTTTGTGTCAGAGTGTTATGGTAGGGGCTCAAAACTGTCTTTGTAGCTATGTGCTGTGAAGAAACCTTCCCAATAGGAAACATTTTGATTTGGGAGGTTGCTGTGACACTGAAATTACCCCGAAAAAACAGTTAGCTATGATACACACTGCCTTGTAACAACGTCACTTTGTGTAGGAGATGTGTTTGTTGTGTTGGAGTCTGCTGACAAGGCACTGGTCCATCTGCCCACACTCTGCCTGCCCCGTGTTGGTCTCAGAGCATGCATATACGTCCACTGGTCTCTGATAATAAAATTTAGAGCGCAAATTCCAAATTAGTGTATTCACGACGTCTCGTTATTACTGTATAGGTGTTTGTCTTGGACGGTGAATGTTAGTTGATATATCGTATTCACTTGTAATCAAGGCAGTTATGTTTTTTGTATTTAAAGATTAGAATGTAGTTTATGTCTCAAGTTACGCTTACCCTCAAATGATGTAAGGGGTGACTTTTTCAAAGAGTGTTTATCACTTTTACAATTAAGTGGCATCACATCCTATGCCGTCTAGACTACATCCTGAGCTCTTCTGATATTCACTAACTCTTTCATCAAAACATGTTTTTTTCATTTTGTATATCTGTGCTATTTAACACACCGGCAAATCTGATTGGTCTTTGTTGTTGACGGCAATACTGGGGCAATATTCAGTTAGGGGGCGTACTCTACCGTACAAGGCCTCGTCGAATCAGCAATCTTTGCGCAGGAATGCCAATTCTCGGGCATCCAGAGCGCTCCCACAATGTTCTGTCTCGCTCTCTTGGCTGGGTAGCTTGTTCCCATCACCATTTTTGTGAGGTGGTCGCGCTGGATACACATGTTGTCTGGTCCTGGGAGACTGCCCACCCTCTGACAGGACCCGAGATAGAAGTGGGGGGTGGGGGGTGGGGTGTGCGTCCCTCTCTCCCTCAGGGGTGGGCCCTAGAGGGTGGCAGGTCTGATGCAGCCAGAGATAGTTGTGGTTGGTTGATCTAAAAGGGTCGTGATTATCGTTAGCTCTCCTCTCTCTACACTTCTTCAGAATATGTGTCAGACCTCACAGCAGAGAGTGGGGGGGGAGGGAAGAAAGCCTGCTATTGTGAGCGGTATTGGTTTCATGTAGAGTAGATGTACACGATCAAAAGTGACGGCGTTCCACTTCTGTGAAGAAGTGTATGCTATCATGATAATGATATATGTGAGTGACTGTTAGATATACGTACCAACACAAGGGTCTTCCTTACCCCCCACAACCGGTGGCGTGACAACTGAAACTGCCGTCGCTACGCTCGGTGACTCTGGCGCGAGTGTGTTGCCATCTACCACTCTGATATGGATGACAACTTCACACCGTGGCCCTGGGTTCAAGTGACCAGCGGTATGCAATCTTTGCCTGGTACCAAAAGCCGCACTCCCTACCTCTCGCTCTCACCTGTTGCAAGATCATTCAAGATTTATCTTTCGAACAGCAGTAACGCTATTCTTAGAGTATCTCTCACTGGATTGTGTCTCACACACAAAGCCCACAGCTGGAGAAAGTTAATTGGTGTGCAGTAGTGAATCAGGTTGTGGGAATGATGTGAAAGACTTGCTTTCAGTTTTACTCACCCACCAACTCAAGTGTGTGCCATAAAAAAAACCTTTCACTTTGGTAGATCCAAAACAGCAGCCTGTTTGTGTCTCCGTGCTCTGCTGTGACTCCAGCCTGGCCACCTGTGGGGGTGTTTGTGCCCTCGTGTGCAGTTTAATGGGATTTTTTGCCTTAATGAATATCCTGGCCAGCATTATTCACTAGGTTTTGTTGTGCAGGAGAGAATGGCTGACTCTCCCTGAATATGGGGCTGGTATATATACATGTGTAGTATCTAACCCGGATGGTGACTCTGTGTGAAGTTTTGCTCATGAGCCATTCTGAGAAAAACATCAAATGACACCTTTAGTTAGCATCTGGTTAGCAAAAACTTCTGGTTTGTTATTGGTATTTCTAATCTGGTTGGTTACTTACATGTATCCTGCTACTTATTGCTCACCAACGTACTTTCTAGACAGCGAAATACTGTAGCCCATGGATCAGAAGGCAGGTAACTCTGTCTAGAAAACTATTTCCTCGGTCCTCCGCACTCTGGAATTCCCGCTTTGTAGTAGAAACAGCAGACAATTTGATATCTCAAGCCCTGAGCAGTTCCCACCCGTTCGGGCTCTGTTGTGCGTGCCTTTGCTTATAGGCGTGTGTGAGAGAATAGAGTGCATTTGGTCGCAGGCCAACTCTAGTGTAAACTGTGACGTGCTTTGTATAGAGGAAACTGGGCTACTCGGGTGAGATGAGAGCTGCTGCAGATGTCTTGGGGTGGGCTGGGCTGACCTCAACCTTGGCCTCTGCCAGGTTGCCAGCCACGACCAGCGAAAGAGAGGAAAGGTAGAGAGAGATGAGGAAGCTGGGAAGGCGGCAGGATATCATGCCTCCATCTGCAATAACACTTAGTTGGGTCAACTCTGTGGGGCTCAGTTGTGACAAGCCATTCTGTGGCTAAACTATTCCAATTTGCCCACTGCCTGTGGACGCCTGGCCACTTATACCTGATTGTGTGTATACTTTTCCTGTGTGTAGCTATCCTCTTCCAGTTCCTCTTATCTGAAGAGAGTGTTTACAACTCAATTTCTCTGTCAGTAACTGTGGAAGGTTGGGAGTATATACAGTGGGACCTCCGATAATGAACTCCCCCAACAGTACATGTATTCAGCTCTCTTTCTCTCACGGTGTACTAGGGCTAGGGTATCAGGGCATTCATATCGGAGGTTTTGTCAACAGATGTAGTTTCTTTTGATCCCCGGAAGCAAGTCGCAAGTGATAGCTCATGTCAGCCTCTCCCTCTTCGCCCCCACTCTTCCAGCACCGCAGCGGGAGAGAGTCCTATCAGATGACCCTATCTCTCTGCCCCACACAACTCCCTGCTACCTCCTCCACAATACCTCAAAGATGTGGGCTGTGCTGCTCCCTCTATACCCCCCACGTCTACCCGGATGCACCCTTCCTCCCCCACACCACATCACTGGGGTACTCCACTCCCTTTCATATCTTCATTCTCCTCTTTTACCACTGCATCAACGAACAAACTAATACGAAATACTTCTGAAGCTTTTGAGTGAGTAAGCTTTAGCAGGAAAGTTTACACAAGTATTCTACATGAAGAGTAGGTGTATAAAAGTACTCTTCTGCCAAGTTTGTTTCATTCACTATCATAGAGTGACAGCCTCTAGCTCTTTCCCATGCTCAGCTGTACTTACACTGATGCCATTAGTGGAGAGCCGTGGACAGTGTGTATATTTACATTCTGAGGGAGATGTGATAGGTGCCCAGCCAGTGATGGTGGGACTGATAGCTGGGCTGCCAGCTAGGACCTGCCATACTCCCACTCTCTCCCTATGTCAACACCCAACCACAGCCTCCATCTACCCACTTGATAATCCTCTCTCCTCCCTCCTCCCTTCTGCGCTTCCCCCACACTTACTCTTCCCCCTCCCTGCCCTCGATTCTCTGGTAGACCTATGGTCAACCACATGTTTTATTGCTGGTAGATATTGAATTTGTCTATTCTAATAAGTACAACATCGGCTAGTGATGATCACTATTAAAGAATGGAGAGGGAAGTATGCTTCGGTGATACTGAAAGGACTTTAGTACACAAACTACTACAGTGAATTCAAAACTCATTAAACCATTTGATACTGAAGTAATTCTCTCATCCTGCCGCTCCCAGGCCATCGCCCCAACCTACTCTGGTGTTAGTTTCACGGGCGAGCATACCAGAGTAGATACCAGCTAGTGAGCTCAGGGTCACAGCTGAGGTCCCCACACTACATCCGCTCTCTCCGGCTCTCCCTTCGTGTGTGTTCCTCCTACACTGTACTCCGGGCATGCCTCCTGCTTGTTGTAACTCCAGCCTCGTGCGAACTCCATGCTTGAACATTTGAAGCAGGGGGTATACATGTCACTGCGAAACAAGACAATTGCTACCAGCAAATGGTGGTTGTTACTTGTGTTTTCATCGTCTCGACAAACTTCGCTGTGTGTGTGTGTGTGTGTGTGTGTGTGTGACTGAGTGGGAGTTGATGGTCAGGGAAAGCCTGTCTAAACATATCACTCTCTCTCTCTCTCTGTGTACACACTGAGACCTTGGGGGCCACCCACTCTCCATGAACTGTCTCTTTCTCTCTCTCTCTCTCTCTCTCTCTCTCTCTCTCTCTCTCTGTGTACACTGAGACCTTGGGGGCCACCCACTCTCCATGAACTGTCTCTCTCTCTCTCTCTCTCTCTCTCTCTGTGTACACTGAGACCTTGGGGGCCACCTGCTCTCCATGAACTGTCACTTGTGTGTGTCATGAAAGAAAGTCAGCATTGTGTAAAGACACATTCCAGAGAATTTGTTGATGCTCTAGACGTTTGCCATGTTCCATACACTTCTTTAGACCAGTCCTTATATCTGTATGGACATGTGAAACTACCCCAATGGGGGACTAGTGGTTAATGCCACAAATGAGAAGAGTGAGAGTGCCTATTTTCCTGCAATCTGTTAGCTTTCCTCTTGAGGGGTTTGAGGTCTCTCTACCCAGGACCCAACTAGTAATGATCTAACTTATTTCAAGTGGGCGCGGGAGACTGTTTTCACCCCACATTACTGTTCTTATCCCACCCATGGCCAAATCCTGTGAGTGTGCATTGTCGGGTCCTCTTAGCTTCTCTCTCTCTCTCTGCATTTTGTGTCTGGGCCCAGCTGCATGGTGTGTGTTCGCGACTGTGTGTGGCAGGTAACTTGCCACGTGCTATCTGACGCAATCCACTCTCTGATCATTTGTGTGCATTCCTCTTCCAATTAGTTTTTTTTTAGTTTAGACGGTGTTTGTTGGGACTGATAGCCTTGCCTGATTGGTTTAAGATTGGTTTAACTGGACCAATTAACCCGCCCTACAGCATAACAAAAATCATAGTTTGATGTCTCTGTCTCTCTTCTCTCTCCAAGACTATACAGTGAATTTGCTCCAAAAGAGTGTGGTTTGGTTTTCTGAACTTGTGTCTTGACTTCAAAAGATGCACTTGGTCTTGGTTTAACCCAATGCCTGCATGGAGAGGGTAGAATAACCCATTTCCAATGGCAGAAAGCGATCCCAACCCGAATAGATATTGTTGTAGTGTTGTCTGGTGTGGGTGTTTTTGAAGTGAGTGTAGGTCAGGAGGTGGTGGTGAGAGAGGGAGAGGGGGAGAGGTGGACGGCTATTCACCCACTTCCCAGTACTCACTTCCCTGGCTTCCCTCAGGAATGTGCTACTACCGAGTCTTAGTTCCACTAGCTCTCCTCGCTCTCCTCCCTCTCCCTCCTCTCCCTCCCTCATTCCTCTTCTTCAAGCTTGTTCTCCTTTGATTGTACCCTTCTGTCCTTTCTCTCTCCCCTCTTTTCCATCAGTTTAGGCTGAATACCCACCCTCAAATCCTTCCTCATTACCCCAAATTCTCTCCTCGATCCTGACCAGCTTCTCTCTCTCATCTCCTCTCTCTTCTTCCTGATACCACCAGATTCTCTAGCTCCCTTCATTGGCACATCATAACTAAAACTGTCATCCTTTGACACAATTGTAGTGTTTACATTTGCGTTTTATCAACCAATATAGCGTTGCTATGGTTAAATCTAGCTGGAGGTACTCCAGCTATTACCTGCCAAGTGTTATGTAGCTGTAGACATACATTCAAACTCTCTCCAATTGTCTGACTTTATATTATTATGTATTTTTAAGTACACCTCTTCAGATGATATGTGTCTGTTCATGCAGATATGAAGTTGAGAGTAGTGAGAATAAGCAATGGCGTCAGAGAAACAGTTGGTCCTGAGATCAATCCCATCAGTGTGTTTGTGAATTCAACCATCGAGTTGACCTGCTATTGTCTGTAAGTCATTTATAACCACACCCACTTTGCATAATTATTATGATACTCGTGGACAATATTTTGTGATCCTTGATTTGTCATGCATCGAGTGTTGCAGAGAGTGCAAAATGTATCCGTCTCTCTTCTTCTTTTATAGGACTGAACCTCTAGCATCAAACTCATCTGCTGAGGTTCAATTGCTACGCAATGCATTCTCCATAGCAGAAGGAGACTGCGATGGTTTGTTCCTGGTAGTTACTATCTCAGTACCTGACGATGGAGAATACCAGTGCCGGGGAAATATACCAGGGAGTGCAAGTCCTCCTGTTGTCTCTGTCATAAGAGAACTTGTTGTTCTTGGTCAGTTATACTCTCTTGGTTGTAGCTAACACTATTATTGGACTCTTCTCCTACACAGACCCAGATGCCCTGGTAATGGTTCCTCCAGTTCAGTATGCAGTCAGTGGCACCAGCCATACTCTGCAGTGTGAGGTCGAGAATCAAAATGCCATCATCTACTGGATGGAACCTGGAGTCCCGTTTGATGACAAAGAGGCTGGGTCGTACGTCATAGACGGTGCCACACTGGAGGACGAGGGAGAGTACACCTGTGTCGTGTACTTCTCCAAAGCCGACGTATTTACCCAAATGACTGTGCAGCTCTATGTTGTTGGTAAGACCCTATAGTCCTTATAGTCTTTAGTTTCATCTCTACCCTGCTCCCCATAGTTCCTCCCTCCATCACTCATTCTCTGCCAACTGACCCGGTGAATCGGAATAGAAACGAACCGCTCTCCTTTACCATTGAGTTCAACAGTCGTTTCGAGGCCAACACCACCGTGACCTGGTTCCATGACAATGACGTCATCAGGAATGGAATCACGACCCAGTTCACCTCAGAGTACGAAGGTCGCTCCACACTGGACCTGGGCATCGTATCCCGTAGCGACAGAGGCTCCTACAGAGTCGAAGTATATAACAACTTCTCCAACATCTCTGAGACCCAGAGAAAAGTCAGAAGCTCAGTGGATCTTTCAGTGACGAGTGAGTTCCTTAATTCACTGTCTCTGCTAGTGTTCGAGGCACTGTAGTTCATGCTAAAGAGCTAAGTGTATGTATCTACAAACTTACCTATCTGTACCTCTTCACTCTATCTGTCAAACATTTCTTCCTGCCCCACTTTCGATCTTCCCCATCCCTCCTCTCTCCCCAGTTTCTCCAGTGGAGCCCACAGAGGTGAAGGCGCAGAACCTCTCTCCCAACAAAGTCCAGTTGAGTTGGGCTCTCCCCTACACCCACAACGACCAACAGCCGTCCTCCATCACCATTCTCCTCACCAACCTCACCGATAGCTCCCTCATCGAGACCACTCTCCCTGGCTCTCCGACCAACCTCGTTCTGGATGTGGTGCCAGGGACGAGGTACAGGGCCGTCCTCATTGCCAACAACGAGGACGGAGAAATGTCGACTCTGCCTATTCGTTTCAGAGCCACCCCAGCACGTGAGCCATGATATGCACCGCCACTCTGTGTGTGTGCACTTGGTTCATAAACAACCACCTTCTTAAGAATGAATTAAGTCGGGTGCAGCTGTAGGTACTGCGCAGTTGGTATCTAAATAGACTGTATTGTGAGTCTAGCTTTAAAACGTCGAGATTTTAGATTGTGCACATGCGCATGTTGCTTTGCCACCTTTAGCAGCTTGTGCACTCTGATTTATGATTTATTTTGGGTTAATTTGTCACGCCCCATTACCACACGCACACTTGACGACCAGTGTAGAGGTTGATCTTAGGTTTTCAAAAGATATTCACATCCCCTGCAGCACCCAAAGTGACATCAGTCGTCAGTCACAGACTCAATATGACATCATTCAACATCTCTGTCACCATGGACTACACCGGTGGTGAAACCATCTCTCACTTCGATGTAAAGTTCCGCCCGAGAAACTCTTCGCAGTGGAGCAACGGACAAAAGGTCAAAGTTCAAGATGGTGGCAGAATGGAAATGGGGCTACTGTGGTATGGAATTGTGACCAACTACAGTCTTGGGAAGCCATCTGAGCTGTCAGTGGAGGTCGTTAACGATGCTAATGAGAGGAGCAGCTCACTCACAAAGGCAGAGGTTCTTGGTGAGGCTCTACTCTACGAACGTAGCTACCTGGTTTTATGAATTGTGTAAAGTTGCATTGCTGTATATGACAGAAAAAGAAATTTTGAACCACTAAGCAGGCTTACTTTGATCACCAGTGATCATTATATCAATTAGTACCATCGCTGTTCATTCACTCTCAGAATGTAATAATGCTCTCTTGTCCCTGCAGCTCCCCTGAGTGCACCATCCACACCAGCCCTCCTCTCCTCTTCCCACGACTCGCTCACCCTCTCCTTCCACCTCCCCAGCGAGGGAACCCCTCCCGTTCTCCACATAATTGTCAACTTCTCCTCCCCGTCCCACTTCCAGTGGGAGTGTCGTGGGGTGGAGGACCGAGCCCTGGGAGACCAGCTGGACTGCACAGTCCCCAGACTCACCTCCGACACCCAGTACACTCTGGCCGTGTTTGGTCTCGGACATGCCGGGAGGGGAAACACCAGTCAGGAAGTCAGCTTCTCCACAAGTGAGCCAAGGCCCTCTCCTCCCTCATTCATCTTCACCTTCCCCTGGATTTGATTTCAGCTCTAATGTAGAGCCCCCTCCCTCTCCCTTCCACCCTACTCTTTGTCTTTCTGTTTCATCATCCCCATGTACCTCTTTTACTCTCTCTTTCCCTTCCTTTATCCCCATTCCTCCCTCCCTCCCTCCCATAGCCTCGGTGGACAATTCTCTACCAACCTGGGTGATTGTGGTGGTAACGCTAGTAATTGCCATGACGGTGCTCATAGTGCTCCTAGCAGCCATCCTCGTCCTTATACACTGTTGTAAACTACGCCAGAAGAAGAGAAAATACAAGTTTAATAGTGAGTGATGTCATTATTATGTAAGCGAAATACTGGGCATCACATGACTAGTTAGGGTTATTTGGTCCTAGCGTGACCAATTGCTTGGTATGTGTACATTCCACTCAGGCATGCCCTGGCTGAAGGTAGTCTTGTCAGCAAAAGACCTGGGTGGTATGCCTCTGATGAACAGCGTTTGGCAGCGGTTCTGCATTCCTTGTTTTATGATATTATTTATGAAAAAAACGCTGTGCCTTGGGTCATAAAAACCTCTGGCCACACCCACCCAGACATCAATTGCATAACTACGACAGACTGTCCCCACCATTAATTTACTGTATTCCTCAATTGTTGTGATGTCACCATAACTGGTGCCTACCCACTTAAATAGCTTGCCCCATTGCACTGTATTACAAGTATCGGTTTTGAAATTGTTGTGGTCGCTATAGTGTTCCATTCTGATGTCCCTTGGGACCAGATAAATGTTTAGTTCTCTTATATCATTCCTTGAAATTTGTCAGATAGAATCTTGCATTGCACATGTGGCTAATTAACACATCACATGTGTGCCTAGGGCTTTTTCAGAGATGTAAGGGAAGTAGAGAATAAGAAAGAGAGAGAGAGAGAGGGACAGTGAGTGAGAAGAGGAAGGAGTAGTAGTAGTAAGACTCCTAGCTAACTAGGTTGGATGAGAGGGAAAGAGGGAGGAAGAGGGGTTAATGTGTGCTCAACCAACCAGGACCTGGGCAGTTTCACTAGTAATGACTGTGCAGACATTCCATTTGGCTGCCTCATGCTGAAAAACTGTCAATATTTGCAGTCTGGAATCCTCTGTAGCACTAATTGTCGGGGGCAGTGTTTCATCAACATCTGTGCATCAAAGGATGATAAATTGCAGACTGTTTCATAACAGTACCAGGGTGTGTGACTCCAAAACTCTAATTGCAGACACACTCTTTTCAATTATGTCACTCAGGACATTTTGCAATAGTTATTTTGCCTCTCATTTCTGTTTTCTTTCATTCTCCCTCCCTCTCCACTCCATATGCACAGGAAGAGCTACTCTGGGTCAGACAGCTCCTAAGCCACTGGAGCCTTCGCACGCAATGTGAGTCTCTTAGTTGGGTAAAAGGTCTAAAGGTTAGATTCGCCATACCAATGAGCAGTACTCAATGTTTGAGAATGCACTTTGGTTTCATTGCATTACGTCTCACTTGAGATGAGTTGGAATGCACATTGCAGGTATATTATAACAGAGGTACAGGCAAAGTACATTCTCAACACCACTTTAATCTGCAGTGGGGTTAACTGGAATCCTGTAATTTTAGGCCATATCTGAAATTATATCTGGTGCCAGTGTATAAACTAGCTGAATCTAAGAAACTCTAGTGATTGGGCAGAAATCCCAGTTGGTAAACAAGCCCCCCGCCACGTGGCTGGACCATGAGAGACACCGCAACTATAGTACATTCACAACCAGTTGACCACAGGCCTCAGTGCGTGGGGGCTCTGAATGGAGCCTCTAGTCAACCAGGGGTTAATCACACCTTTTGTAAAACTTTGAAGCTCTGTGCATCTGGTAAACAATGGTTTGTTATTTTCCTATGTTATGACTGATGCAATGGTGCACAATACACTGAGCATTGATTAGCTTTGTATGTTTCAGACTCTTTGGACAGGATAACCGACTCTTGCCCCACACCTTGCACCATCGAATGGTGCTGTTGCTGTTTGTTTGTAACGTGAAAGTGAATGTTTTGCAAAGCAAAATAACACTTGGTGTAATCGCCCGCGAAACTAGGTGTGATATGGGCGTGCAGTATGCAATATTATTGCATAGGCTGAATGGTATGGTAACTAATAATAATCCCTCCCCCCTTTCTTCCCCTCTCTGTCTCAGACTCAACCGCAATCCACCGGCACACATGGGCATATCACGACTCTCGGAAATGGCCCCTCCCCCAATCTCCCCTCCCTCCACTGTCACTCCTCCCCTATGCCGCTCCACACCCAGCACCACCGTCACTTTCAAGTAAGCCACGCCCACATAATTACGACATACTCGCGATGTAATCCACACCATGTATGATGTAACCTCCAGGTTTGAGACAGCCAGTGGTAGCAGCTGCAGCAACCTCGATTCAGATATCTCTGACGTTCACTCGCCATCCTACAGCTACAGAGTTACTCCTCCTCCTCCTCCTTCCACCTGCCCTTCTACCATCCAGTCCCAGGTACTTCACCGCTGCTCACATTGAAAACACACTCTACAGGTGTTAGGAAAGATCCTCAGACTGGGCCTGCAGACTGCTTGTGTGGTCACAAAACCCTTTTTCTTCTTCGAAAGTGCTCTGCTCTCTTTGTATACGTGTATAATTGGCAAAGCATGGCCTGATGTGCAGAGTTGGCCATCATTGGGGAGCTGTGTTAGTTGCTCACAGCGGCAGCTGTGCCCTGTTGTGCACGCAGTTGGCAGGCAGTTGCCACGTTGTTGTACAACTGGCAACTGGTTTTAAAATCCATTTGATGTTTAGGGGGGAGTAGGTTTAGCAGAACATGCAGCTTTGATCCTAGGCCGCTCCCAATTAATACTAAGTGTTTTCCTGTGCCCAGCAATCCTACCACTCCCTGGGACGGAGCTCTCACACTCACCAGAGCCTTCACAGCACCCGCGACAGCCTCTCCAGCTACCCTCCGGCCCCCGCCCACTGCGCCACTAACGTCTGACTCTTCCCACTGCCCCTTCGTTTGTATCTCATCTTCTCTTCAGCTGCTCAGCAGTCATGTACTACATGTGAGTCAGGGACAAACTCATTAGAGCAGTGATTACAGGAGTTCTTTAATTCCCCGCCACCATTGAGTGCTGTGTGCTCTATCATGCTAATGGTTGTTGTTTGCACATCATTATGTGATGCATGAATGCTCTTGAGGATTTGTAATCATTAAAGTCTTGTACATTAACCGATTAATTATGCTCCATCGTTTCCTTTTCTTTTTAATTCTCCACTCCATTCCTTCTTCCCCCACAGCTCTACACACATGCGTACAACACAGACACACACTCACTCACACTACAGCTGGAGTTACAGCAGCCTCCCACAATGGAACGCACTGAATATCCACTCACATATGGAAACCCCCAATCTCGTCTGTCCTCCAGTGTCGTAATAAACTCATCAATGTTTGGCAGAGTATCTTCGTCATCCATGCCCTCGGAGTCTGCATGCTCCAGTCTCCGCCTCACCTTTTCAACCTCCAAGAAACACCCATACTCCACCACACCCAACTAGGATCTGAACTCTGTGAAAACGTCTATTTTTTCCAAAGATAACACAGATAGTTTTTTTTCAATTCGTTAGGTTTTTACACCACCAAGGATTATGTCATCACTTCCAAATCCCCTAGATCTCTTAAAATTGGCTTTAGCCCTGCAACTTAGTTTTACTTTCCTTTTTTTTCGCTGTATTTTGTCATTTTCGTTCCTCCCGTTTTACGTAAGAAATACAACGTGGGCGCGCAGTGAGTCTAGCTCCTCCCCCCCCGTGCCGCGCGAGATTATAAACGCCAGCTCTCAGAGCTCGACGTTCATCGATGAGTGGATGCAGCCAGTAAAGAGTGAGTGCAGATATCCTCGCTGACTCCGTCTCTCCTCCTGTGCTACTGAGCGACGCCTCGACGATCATGAGGCCCCTGATGCCCGTCCTCTCCTGCGGGTTGCTTCTATTACTGCTGTCATCAACGACAACATCAGGTACCTAGTAGCTAGCTGGGTATGGAAAATAATAGAGTATGGTGAGCGCCGTTCAGTGTTTGTGCACAGAAGCCATCAATTTCTGGCATAATATCCAAGGGTTGCTGCAGCTAGTGCAGACAGTCCATTGCCGCCGGCGATGACTGCACGGGAACACTGCAGCAAAATGCCTCACCTCAGCAGGCAGGAGTCAGTATAGCTATATAATAGTCCGGAGGTGATGTAGGTTGCATAGGTCCTGGTATTGAGTGAGCTTGATGGCGACTGTTGGCACACTGGAGGTTCAAAGAAGCAGCTAAGTGTAAGAACAGCATCACTCCATCTGATTACTCTTTGTAGACACAGCAACGGATCTTTGTAAACCAATATAATAGCATTAACTAACCAATTGTGAAATTCCCTTGCCTCAACTGTATATATTTATCCTGGAACTACACGAGGTTTGGCTCTTGGGTGCGGCTGGCTGCGGTCCTATTGATGTGGTTACGGTGTCCTGGTATTTTTAATGGAGCTGGACACGGCATTAGTTCACGACAGGTATGGCAGTGACTGATGTTGAAAGATGCATTCTGCCAAAGTTTACGATGAACGCAGAGCATGACATTTTAGGGTGCGTCTGGTGAGTGAGGCAATGCAGTGATGTGTCTACAGATCCGCTCTTAGTCCAGGTTGGCAAAGGATTGTAGTTGCTCAGGGATAGAGCTGGCGACTGTTGTGTGTTTGTGCAAGAGTACAATGATCCATTCTCATGTGGAGTGTGCACTAAAACAACACACAGCACACATGCATAGAGAGTGGACCCGTACACACAGCATACTGTAGAGCCGTACACACTCTCCTGCTAGCACACTGTAGAGCTATATAACTCTGCGTGCTGCTTTGAACTCAGTGTGGTTATGAATCACATGTCCATATTCTCATTGTTGCCGTGCAGCCCAAATGCTAGGCAAGATCTGTTCACACTCACTGCAGCTTTTAGGCCGTCACACTCAGCCGTATAGACTGCGTGTATGTTTGCCCTAATGGTCTGTAGCCTACAATAAGGTATAAATGAGGGAGCTATTTTGATGATAAGCAACTTGCCTGCTTACGGACAAGAGTCCTCAGTGGCTTGTAAGAGGCCAGGCTTTCATCTCTGGCCCACGGGAACTGAAGTTAGGTTTCCGTGGGTCAGTGCTCGATTCATTGGACCCCCAACTAGACCTGAGGGCTTATGTCTACGCCTCCACATGAGCATGCGGTGTGAGACTCTCTGGGACGGGAGTTATGAATTCTGTGAATGGAGGAGGGAATGGCTCGGTATAACCCACCGACCACAGCCGGCCAATGCCAACATTTGTAGGGTTCTGTGCATGTAGAATTCCTCGTGCAATGCTGTGTGTTACGAGCCTACAGGTCGACTGGGTATTGGGCATCCAGTTTTCCTGTCATTCTCGTGATCCCTCAGCTGGGGGGGATGTATGCCCCATTGAGTTTTACCATTGGTGGCAACGAGTCTACTCTCGGACACGGAGCATTATTATGCATATTAAAATGTGTGGTCGTGAAAAGTGGCCGGGTAAAGTCACAATATTCTCTTTCAGAATACACCACAGCAAAGGCTGTGAATAATTATCAGAGAGGCTTTGGTTAGATTTGGAGGAGTTTTGAGAGGAACTGATTATGAAAAGTTTCATAACAGGTAACCACAGTGGGTCTAGCCTTGACCAACATACCCCCCAGGAAAACACAACACTCCTCTGGGGATCTTTATTTCTGTCACCCGATCATGGTGCTGGTGCCGTCACTCGGAAATCCAGTCTCTGTCTCGCCCTGTGTAAAGCTGTGTAATTGCAGAAGCTTTGCAGGCAAGAGTATCGCATGTGTCACGTGAGACTGGCATCAGCCAGGTGGTTGGACACTGCCACACACACTAGATATAAACACCTCCCCAGCCCCATCATGTCTTCATGGTGGTAGCTATAATGAGAAACCCTTCTTTCTGCTTGTTGTCACGACTCTTGGCCCCACCATGGATGAAAATCGCCGAGCATTGCAGCATGCACTGCACATAGCGAGCATAGAATAATTACCCTCCTACTTGTAGAGACAGTCCCTACAGGGCATGTGATTATTCCAACGATGTCATCCCCCCAACAACCGCACCACGCTACCCACACACTTCCTCCACGATGGAACTTTTTGCATCAGTTTCAAACAACAAACTACACAACATTAATTTTCTTCACTTTCTATCATTAAAATAAGCTGTACAGAGTAAGACAACCCTGAGATTTCTGAGTAACTAAACTGAAGTAGTTGTATTGCAAAAGAAATAGCTTATTAACTTGAGCAAGATGTTCAAAGACTCATGCCTTATTGATTACCTTAATTTTTTGCACCTGAGATGCGTAAATTCCATTGATATATGCTTAAACTATGGTGGGTGGGAAATTCTTTAGCTCTTGTGTTTCATAGCGATGTGCCTAAAAATAGACTCAGTGATCATCAATGATGTGGGAAAATCTTTGCGTATCTATGATGCTGAAATATGCACAGGGAAGTGCAGGGTAATATGTCAAGGAGAGTTAGGTTAACCTTAGAGATTTGTAGATCCTTTCTGAGCCAGTTCAGTTTGCCGAACAGATTAGTGTATTATTTACTCTCTCGTTTCACCCCTAGCTAAATAACTAATAATTACTCACCTGCCCCCCCCCCCCCCCCTTGACATCCCTCTCAGGACCCAGTGGCTGGTTATTGTACATACTCATTTTCTGAAGTGCCCAGATAGACTGGGCATTCCTGCCAAAAGACGGCTATAAAGAGCGCAGGTTTCTGAAGTGGTAACTTGGAACATCTTTCCATGAGGTCCCCAGCCAGCAGGTACACCCAACCCTAATTAGAGCATTTTAGCCTTGTGTTAACAGGGATAATTGAGAGGTTGTTAGCCCAGTGTGTTTTCCCGATACATGAGCTTCTCTTTGATTGTAGCTGTGGGAGGAAGGGCTTGGTGAAATATTTTTACAATGGAATCATCGAACCAAATAATTCACAGTTCCAGAGACAATGTTGCGAGGTAACTCCTCCGTACATGCCGAACTCTCCCACATAATTACGACCCCGCCAGATGCGTGCCCATTGCACAGGCACCCAGAACATCGTCTGACTTAAATAGGTGCCTTTTATTTACATATTGTCAAATCTAGAGGCAGTGTACTTGGGCATAAAGCAGCAGTGCGGGCTATAGAACGGAGTCGCAACGGGCTCCCTGACCTTTTGTGTGGAGCCCATGAGATGACCAATACCATCGGTTTGGGAGAACAGCCCCGTCATTATGCGATAGTCCCACATTTGGACAAAAAACCGCACCAATGGTACAGACGATTTATATCTGTTAGTTGGCCCAGCTGAATGAATGGTTGAGGGGTGTTTTTTCGGGTTTATTTCATAAACGGAGAAAGGCCAAGTGCATGGCGTCACATGTTGGCTCCCTGCTAGAGTTCCCTGGTAATGTGCAACACACACGGCTGCCGTCCAACCATCTAAATGCTGGTGAGGGTGTATGCTGGATAGTATGAGTATAGAGGATACACATGCACTCGTGGCACACTCCCTGCGGACAGGTCGGCTATGATGCTGTTTACACAAGAACTGCCGATATCAGGTTTTCATAACTAACTCTAGGCATCACATCTTCTTTTTGGGTGGACATGAGAAATGAACAGCCAAACATAGCATGAAGTCCAAAGTGGCCCGCAAGTTGCTATCAGAGCCAGATGTTGCACAAGAGTCCCAGACTACGAGCTGAGACTCTTTTCTCGGAAATTCCTTCCTCTACATCCTCTCATCAACAACCTCTACACAAACACCCTCGCACCCTGTTCGATCCGACTGAGTCAAAGAAGAGGAAAAAATGAGGCTCAAAGAGACAGAGAAAGTCCCAATGTGTTTGGAATCTGAGAGCATCACTCGCCGGACGTGTAACTCGTAGTGCCTGGCGAAGAAGATAAATTGTGCACAACTCCCACTGAACTGGCGTTTGCCACCCACTCAAAGAAGCCTGAAAACTCCTAACGTCTAAGAACTATAGCCATACAAAAACTCACCATAGAACAAGCACACCTATGCATTGGCATACTGCAACAATGGTGTGTGGCTGATGTGGCGGGGGGGGAGTTGCCCGATATCTGTATGCCTTCTCCATAGGAAAATCATTAGACCAAACAGGTCAAAACCAGGTCCCAGGACCAACTACTGCAGTTTTAGAGCCTAAAGCTACAGCGCTCAGAAACCGTGTTGTATTGTTCAGTAATAAGGTGAAACTGTGTTTGTTTTGTAGCTCAATGAAGTGTGTAACTCCGTTAGTGCACCTTCTCAATGGCCATATTTAATTGGGCAAATATTTGCACGGGGCCCAAGGGCAAGCTAATGATATTCACTAAGTCAACACATATGATGATCGCCAGTTTAGTACACTGGCAGTGATTGTGGCGACCGTGTCTTGCTAGTCATTCTAATGATAGCCACAAAGAGACACTGTAGGGAGGCTAACATTAGACCCGTAACTCTGTGAATAGTCCACGTTGAAGCTAGGTCATCCTCAGTTGATGATCTCCTGCTATCACATCTTTAGCAAGTGATGAAACACTGCCAAAAAGGCACATGTTCTCTAAGTGTGTACGTAAGCTGTCTCTGGGACCGAAAGCCGTGTATCACAGCTGAGCAGATAATCATTTAAACACGAAGCATCATCCTCCCACCCTATTTCCTCTCGGCGCTCAAGCATGTTCGGAGGCATGTACCTAAACAGTATGTGCGGGTGCATTAGCTGATCTG